ACAGACAAAGGCGAGTAGATGACGACAGAATTTATTTTTGGGTGAACTAACCCTTCAGTTTTTTGCATTTTGTACTCCTGCATTTAGCAGATGCTTTTATAAAGTACGTCTTGAATTCAAGGTATTCATTATGAGGTTCTTGCCTTGAGCTTCAAGCCGTCTATTAAAAGTTTTGTGCTCACACTGTATGTCAACCTATCCTTTATTATTTTAGTTAGTAGCCACAGATTTCACAAGATGGTGGCAATTAGTACTGCATTGGTTTGAAAAGAGAGAGCCAGCTGATTTGACAGACATGAAAGAAGTACTGGTCAACAGGCTTGTCATTATACAATCACTGGACTTTTTATGTGCACTTGTTCAACTGCTCTTTACACAAATATCTAATCAGCAACATCACAGCAAATACCGACTCATTTCCACCAAGCAAAACAGTTTGGTACAGTACAGTAGAGTATAGTGATAGTTTCCACTGTCAGAAGTACCAAAATATTAAACCGTATACCACTGTTTGGGAACTTTTCATAAGGGTGAAGTTGTTCTCACTGCTGAATATTATTGGTTCACAGAAAATTGTCAATTGAACATGCAACAAGCCAGGAAAACGACAGCCAACGCAATCTCAAGGCAATTTGTAACTTTTAGTGGCTTATTCGTATTAATTTGTACAATCTACTTCAAACAATTTAGTACGATTTGCCCATCACCCAATGATGGTTGGGGTTAGGGGTGGGGTTGGGTGCCACGCCTCCTTTTTGAAATCGTATGACTGAACAAGTACAAATTCGTACGAATTAGCCACTAAACTAAACTACTTACGTTTCCTCGTGAGATCAGGCTGCGACAGCATAGCAAGCATCATTTTTTGAATATGCACAGAAGCATGATGCGGTTATATAACAAAAATTGTACATAGTAATGAACCATGATCGACTCAACCATGTATTTGGGAATGTAGACATGGTCAAGCTATAGATCTGTGGTGAAAAATCTTTCTAGAAATTGATTCTGTGATTTTCAAAATGTGTTCGTCTTCTCTCAATTTTGGGTTTAGTCTTCACCAACAGGTGGCACTTCATGCTTTACAAACCAAGGTTCAACGCTAAGGATTTTTTTCTACTGATCCAATCGGACCAGTGGTTCAGATTTTTACTTACCCTGCCAATATTTTCACTGGCCCCACCAAAAAAATATGTTTATAGCTATTTCTTAGCCACAAATAAAACAAAAACGTGTCAAAATGTTTGTAAATCTAGAATTTAAATATTTAAAAAATGTTAATAAATGTGTAATGAGCAAAATTCAAAGTGTTTTGAAATAAAAGATGGCTAAAGGCCGGCCAAACTGACAGCAAACTGTACATCACCTAATTTTTTTAGTCATGGTGTACGCTCGTATACGTCTGCTTTCAAGACGTTCGAAACAATGTTTTCCTTTAGCATTATCATTTGATGTTACCGCCATGTTGCCGTCTCTTCGCTGTACTAATAACATGCTCACAACATCCAATCAGATAAGAAGAACCAAGAAGGTAGCATTTGAAGGCTTGAAAGCACAAACCATTTCTCAATTCTAAAACTGTATTTGCACGCAATTGACAAATAGTCACAGGCAAATTAAACTTAAGTGACAAGGCAGCAGTGGCCCGATCGGGCCAGTAACGATCCTGTCTACTGTCCCGAGCATCTCACACGCTGGCCCCGGGCCATCGGGCAGTCCTTATTGTTGAGCCCTGCAAACAGCTGTACTCTGCTTGCATACAATGTCTTACAAATACCGCTTGAACGTCAAATTATTGTTAATAAAGTTATAAATGGTTTAAGCGAATTACAAAAGTGTTCATAGAGAATGGTTAACCTTGTGGCATCATAGTCAGATTCCATGACTAGCACCATCTGCTGTTAAAAGCGAACCTAGAGTGCCATCTGCTTTTAAAAATGAACCTAGAGCGCCATCTGCTGTTAATTTTACCTGGAGCGTCACCTGCTTTAAAAAACTATTCTAGAGTGCCATCAGCTGTTAACTAACCTAGAGTATCATCTGCAATTATAAACTAACCTAGAGCTCCATCTGCTTTTAAAAACTAACCTAGAGTGCCATCTTCTATTGAAAACTAGCCTAGAGCACCATCGGCTAATAAAAATTAACCTAGAGTGCTGTCTGCTGTTAAATTAACCTAAAATCCAACATTGAGCCAACATCTTAAGCCAACGTCATATTGATGTCAAATACTGACATTTATTCGTTAGTTATGGCAACCAAAATCCAACATCTGATAGACATCATAGTGGTAACGTCCACACAACGTCAAGCTCACACATCATTAGACGCTGATATTTGGTTGATTTTAGGTTAGGTTTTGACGTTAACCCAATTTTCATTTCCAAACAAAGTGCAACCTCCCTATGACATTAGGGTACAAGGTCAGTCTGATGTCATGTTGACATCCTGTGCCTGCTGGGTTGTGTGTCAAATAAGAGAAACATACAAAATGTGCACTACTATTGCACATGGATGAATAACATAAAAAGAGAAGACAAAAGCATTAAAGTATTTGGGTGAACTACTCCTTTAATAGGCCACCAAGTCAAACTATACTTCAAGCATAGCCACCAAATGATGCTGTGGGAGAAAGGACAGATTGAAGTTGTAACAGTGATTTTTACTCATGTGTTGAACATACAGTACATAAATAGTGTGCATTTGAAGGATAAAATCAATTTTACTCTCGACAAAAATAATTTAATATACATTTACCAATTATATTAGTTAAATACTTCATCTCCAATATGAATATAATGCTGCAAATTCAAAGTAATATTAACTGACTGCACCCAAATTCATTCACTTTAATACAAATATAAACTAATTCTGAATTAAATAAGCATATCTCATAGAAAAATCTATGTATGTACAATTCACTGACATTCTACTTTTTATTCAAGGCTGGTACGGGGAAAAAAGCTCAGGCACCTGCATGTACATGCATACAGATCACAGCAAACAAAAACTTTACAGCAAGGGTTTCCACTCTAGAGTCATTGTCCTGCAGAGTTTGGCTCCAAACTCACCAAACACACCTGCCTGGATGTTCCTAAGCTTTGCAGATTCCCACAGTGCTTTTTTTAGGACAATTATTTCTAAATTATTGGCTGAATTCACAGTGGACCTCATCAAGTGCACTCGTTGAGTCACAGAATACACTGCAATAACAGCATACACATTCAACGGCTACAAGATATATTCTGTGACTGTCGATCCAAAGTAATTTCACTTAAAGATCTTGTCCACAGCCAAAATTGCCACACACAAGGGTAACTTGCTCACTTCTGCTCAACTCTTCAAGTGGACTATAGACATTTCCCAAATGTCATCTTAAAACATTGCAGTCCACACTTGATTTACTATTGGTGCTTTAGTGCACTTGAGTCTTTGTGACTTACTTGACATGTGCAGGTGCATAGTCCATAAGATTGTAGGGGTGTCCAAGTCATCATTTAGGCTTTTAGAGTAATATTCATACTATAACCCCCTTTGCAATCGCTATATGCGCCCTAAATATGTCTGTTGAAGCCACAAAGAGGCAAAACTCCAATCGGAATTCTACAATTCTTACTTGATAAGTAAGCTCATACTGTTTAAGGAAACAGATTGCGGCAAATCATTTAAGTTTTGAAACAAAAGGGTTTGTGTACTGTAAACTATATGACTATAGCCCCTTTCACACTTACAGAACTTTCCGTAAAATTACCTTTTTTGAAAATACCGGTCAATTCGTTCTGGCAATTTTCCAAAAAGAGAAGTTGTAACATTACCGGTAATCTGCCAAAATGCTGCTCTATGTGACCGCAGGAGAAAACTTGCCTGAAAGAGCGCGTTCACGCTTAGAACGCACTGACATGTGAGACATGTACTCCAGCCAATCAGATCATTCAGATGCATCAACATCCCCACTGTTTATAAAAACAAAAGCCTTTGAATATTTTTCCAGACACATTTAGCAGCTAGATGTTAGACAGAAGACATTTGTATGTTCCTTCTTAATGCCAATTGTGTAAAAAGATCGATAAAATGCTTATGATTAACCACTGTTTGTTTACTTTCAAGCCCTGCTTCAGTTTATTGATGCTTGTGTACATTATGTACATTTCAACATGTGAAAGTGTTCCTCCATATATTTTCATTGAAGTTGTTTACAATGCTTATCCATCCACAAAATTTAGTACATAGTCAAATGTGTAAATGTTTAGCTGCGGTTTGCGCTTCTGCCTTTAGATGCCTTTGCAGCTGCATGAATGCTAAAGCTTTAAATAAAGTGAAACCATCAGCAAAAGCCAGATCACTTCTATGTTTATAAATACAAGCGCAGCTGTTTAGAGATAAATTCTGGTTAATGATGTCAGAATTTACCAGTATTTTGGAATGGATGTGTGAACGGTCTTTTTGGAAAAATTCCAGAACGTCCTTGCCTGTGTGAACAGGTCATTTTTGATTTTACTGTAGAGTTTACGGAAAATGTACTTATGTACCGGTGAAAGGAACTTATGACTAGAGTCATTTTAGATTTTAGAAGAAAATTTGCAACATAGGCTCATTCTGGAAATGTAGCCCTATATACATTTCTGGAGATCGCAGATTATGTAGCCAGAAGTACGTATGGCTGCATTTCTTCTTTAAAAGGAATGCTACGGGGCAGTTTGACACCATCGCTTTTGGTGGACGGCTTTCCCGCTGTTACCAGTGTGTCCAGTGGCCCGCCATGTATGTCAGAGGATTTGAGACACAGGGCAGACCGTGACGACAGGGTTCAAGTTTGGCAAAGAATGGTTCCAAAAAGGCGAGTAAGACAAAAACAGAAGCCAAAAAGTAAATAACAGGGTGAGAATGTGGTGAAATCTGAAAATGTGGTAAAAATCAGACGAGGGCTTTTCTTTTTATAGATTGCTTTTTAAAACTGTCAATCGGTGCTTTTGAAAACACTATTGGTTGGGTTTAGGGACTGAGGTGGGTGGGTCAGTCCATCGGTCAATCAATCAGTCAGTCAGTAAGCCGACAGCAGCCTCTGGTGGATTTACGCAAGAACAGCAGGCGCGAACAGCACCCGGGAGAGAATTTTGAGATCTCACAAAGCGTACGAAAAAAAAAAAAACTGCAAAAAAAAAATAAATGTAAAAAACATAGCTCCTGGGATGTATTCGTCGCTCTGCAGAACTGTATACAGTGGTTTGATTTTCAGAATGAGCCTGGGTTGAATATTTCAGATGGCACTTAGAGGCAGGGGTGTCGCTGGCCAGTATGGGCTCTATTGAAACATTTTTAATAGGACGAAAGTGAAGACCGAAGGGGGCGGTGTCACGGTTGAAAATGAGGGGGGGGAATATTTTGGTGGGCTCCTAATACTATCTCTGGGGGCCCCAAAATGGTGTAGGCCCTAAGAATCGTCCTCACTTTCCCCCCTAGCTTAGAGGTTTTTGCATGTGGCTTTATGGAAAAGAACAGCTTAGACCTCTGCTATGCATCTCCTATTATAGATCTGTGTATTATAGCACAAACAGATAAATACTGCATCTAAACAGCATGATGACTGAATACTAATTTTGGGTGGATCCATTCTTTTATACTACAAACAAAACACTGAATGTGTTGCAAAGTAAACAGTCCCCACTGTATGGCTTGGCTTGAACAGACTGCAGTCAATGTGCAATTCACGAATTCCTCTTCTACGCTGCATTTGGAATATTGAACATCAGCACTCGCTATCAAAGCACAAGCCTCAAGTCTCCCGATCCAATCCACATAATACCCTTGTGCCTGGCTTTGACATTTTCACTGATAAACAAAAAGCTTTGTTCTTTCTATTCTAAGCTTGTCAAAGACTGAATTATTCCTTTTCAAAGAGGAGTGGCAATCAAAGCTTAATACAGGGAGGTGATAAATCGATTGAATTGATATCTAGGCTTACAAGGGGGTGCAAGACCAGAACTAGGACATGATGCCAAAGACAGGGTTGTGGCGACAGATTCTAGGTCCGTATTCCTCGTAGTCCTTCTTAGTATGGCAGACTTGGAAGAATTCAGGCTAAATACGAAAAATGAATTAGTGATTCAGCATTCAGAGTAAATAGACAGAAAAATAATGTAATATATATGAACATTACCGTAGAAGCCAACATAGATCCGCCAAACCACACTGCGTATCGCTGCATGTGATGGGATATAACCTGCACTTCCATGGGCTTGGGCTGGAAAGAAAATCAGAAGCATTCAAAAGATCAGAAAAATAAAATAAAAACAGCAAGTAGCAATTTTTTTCTTTTCTTTGGACACAAGGGACATCTTAATAAGTGTCATTTAATCTCCTGTAATAAGCAAACATATACTGTATACAGTTGAAGTCAGAATTATTAGCCCCCTTTTGATTTTATTTATTTATTTTTTATATTTCCCAAATGATGTTTAACAGAGCAAGGAATTTTTCACAGTATGTCTGATAATATTTTTTCTTCTAGAGAAAGTCTTATTTGTTTTATTTTGGCTAGATTAAAAGCAGTTATTAATTTTTAAAAAATCATTTTTGGGACAAAATTATTAGCCTCTTTAAGCTAATTTTTTTTCAGTAATCTACAGAACAAACCATCGTTATACAATAACTTGCCTAATTTCCCTAACCTGCCTAGTTCACCTTATTAACCTAGTTAAGCCTTTAAATGTCACTTTAAGCTGTAAAGAAGTGTCTTAAAAAATATCAAGTAAAATATTATTTATTGTCTGCATGTCAAAGATAAAATAAATCAGTTATTAGAAATAAGTTTTTAAAACTATTATGCTTAGAAATGTGCTGAAACAATTTTTCCTCCATTAAACAGAAATTGGTGAAAAAAATAAACAGGGGCACTAATAATTTAGGGGGGCTAATAATTTTGACTTCAACTGTATTTGTAAGTGAATGTTTGTGTGATTGTCAGCTAATAGATTTAGTAAGATAAGTAATTTGATAAGTTGTTTTTTTTGCAATGAACCTCTATGTGCTTATGTTAATTATGTTTCAATACATATCTATGTATTTAGTGGTAGTGATACTACTTGTAAATACTTTAGCGCATAATTTAAGCAGGCACCAACATGAAAAAGTTTTGTAATTAAAATTTATTCTTTTAATAAATAATATACATTTGTAAGACTTTTTAAATTAAACCCAATAGTTTAGATTATAGTGACTTCCTAAAACACAAGCAAATAAAATATCCACATTTAGTGACAGTGAATGAGTCAAGAGGTGTCATTTTACCCACGTAGCCATGACAGCACAGTAGCATTATTACAAGCAGAATTTACTATAAAAATCTCGTCACCCTTTTTTTGAGCAGACTTGTTTATACTGTGAGCTTGTGAGATTCATGCATGTATAATTATGGGTTTAAAAAAGAAATATCCAGAGCGCAATATTGAGCTATTTTGAACTTTGATAGTAGCTCATACATATATATTTACACTGTAAAACCCCCAAAAAGTTAAGGTAACTCAAACAATTTAAGGAAATCAATTGCAAAAAACCATTTAAGTTCAAAAACTAATCCTAATGAGTACTGTGAACTCAATTTATTACAGCACACACTGTAAAAAATGCAGGGTTCCACACAAATCATTCATGTTGTTCCAACACAAATCAATTAAGTTAACTTAACACTTTTAACAAATTTATGTGGATTGAACATAAAAAAGTTAAGTTGTCCTAATGAAATCTCAAGAATTGTGTTGTTTCAGCTCATTTTAAAGTAAAAAATATATATTTTTTAAGTGCAGTAAAACTCAAATGAAGAGAACTCAACCAACTGAGTACTGCAAAACCTAATAAGTGAAGGCAACTTGAACCTTTTGAGGAAATCGATTGCTACAAACAATTTAAGTTAAAAAAACTAATCTATAAGAGTACTGTGAACTCACTCCATTTAGGTTGAAATAATGTGGTATTTAATGAACTCATTACCTTCAACACTGAGTTCAAAACTCTTTTTTTTTCAAATGAGTAGAATAAACTTTCAGTAAATTTTGATTTAACTACACTCATTTAATTTAATATAGTTGACTGTTGGGTTTTAGTGTTAGATAGATAACTTGTTTTTCACTTCCACATTTGAGTTTGCAGTGTTTTAATTAAGTTTTTTTTTTAAATCAAAATAATACATAGCGTAGCGCAACGCCTCAAAACGATAATAATAAAATGTATTTTAAATTAAAAAAATATATATTTTTGGGCTGCTTTCAAGACATTTAATGGAACTGAAATTTATAATGAAAATGCCATTTCGTTTTTTTGCAAAGGGAATAGACAAAATATATTTGCAGTGAACATTTTAACAATGTCATCGGCCGATATATTTAATATAAAGATTATACAAGAAAATCTAGCACATATTGTTGTGTCACTTTTGACCCACCCATGTGTTACTTTTGTCCCGACTGATGGGGTCAAAAATAACTGTGCCATTTATGTTTAAAGTAAAATTATTTAGAAGTTTTTCAACGTTTGTACAAAATACCACCTGATGTTGATAGACAGTTATGTGTTTATAAACCACAGTAAAAAATATTTGTTTATCTAAACCTAAAAGATTATCTTTAAAAAAAAAAAAACTTATGAAATGGTAATTTTGTCCCTGTTCTTACCCTACATTTTCAATGATACTTATGGCCCTATCATACACCCGGCGCAGTGTGGCGCAAGGCGTGACGCAGTAGTCTTTTGGTAGTTTCAGCTTGGCGCAAGAGTCGTTTTGAGGCATTGCACTACGCTGTTTAAATAGCAAATGCATTAGCGCTCATTTGTGCGCCCATAGGCGTTCTGGTCTAAAAAGGGAGGCGTTCTGAAGCGGACCGCTGGCGCGTTGTTATTTTGAGAAACTAAAATAGATTTTTCATTTGACCAAAACTAACCCGGTCTAAACTCCGGCGCAGAGTTGCGCCTCACTTACGCAATGCTTAATACGCACAAGAGAGCAATAGGCAAATATCTTTACATATGAAAAAATGTAAAATATTACAAAACATATTATTTTCTAGCCTACATAAATATGAAAAATCACTGCTTTTATGTCTTCTTCATCTCGGGAGGCTTTTTCAGTTCATTCATAACAATTTGCTTTTGTATAATGTGATTATTATTAGCAGTATTATTTATTATATCCATATGTATATTTGTTTTATTAAAAACAAGCTTAGATTTGCCCACCTGTCAGGTTTTAGACCATATGGGGCGCTGCATGTGTTTTAGGATATAACTCAGGTTTTTGAGCACACTTTGTTAATATTGTTCATTTATTCGTTTGCTGGAAATTAGAACTGAATTTAGAATTTTGAAACGAATATTTGCGCTTAACAAACAAAAGTATTTATTTATAGACTAACTGATGTCTGTGCGTAAAGGTTTCCCTATCCAAGTGCGAAAGTGAAAGTGATCCATTATCTTTCATTCTCACGCAGTAGATGCTCTGTTTAACAGTTTTCTGTTAAAAAACTGTTAACTGTTAACTGTTTGCTTGTGAAATGCTCATTTTTTCCACTTAGACTTACTTTGCGTCCTGTAAATAGCGAATGCGCTCTTGGCGCGACGCAGCTGACTCTTAAAGGGAATGGGAGATGAGACTCTAATTGGTTCATTCTTAAAACACACCTATAATTCATTAAGAAAATAAACTCAACCCTTTTAGACCATGCGCCGCGGCGCAAGGCAGATTTCCCGTTCTTAAATTAGCAAAAACGCGTCCTGACATTCCCTAAAAGCATTTGCGACCTGCGTTTTGCACTTTGCGCATGGACCGTTAAAATAGAGCCTTTAATGTACTTTGGGTTGAACAATAGTAATCTCACCTAGTTTGACAAAGTTTAGAAACGACCCTACAATTTGGTCATATGCACAAGGCAGCAGGCATTATAATGCCTTAAAGTGTTGCCTCTGCAGCCTGAACACCATATTTTAAAACAAGAGAAGTATTCAAAAAGCACTACAACACAATAAGAATGTGGGCATTAAGTGAGAAATTGTGAGACAGTAATGAGATCAGACCTTTATTCTGCCGCCGCTGAGCTCCTCACTCAGTCTGAGTCTGGCATCCACAACACGCTTCAGGTCCCTCTGCAGTCTGCGGCCAAAGTCCCGAAACATTGTGGAGCCCCCCGACAGGACTATGTTCTGAAGCACACATTATTTGGAAATATATTTTCATTATTAATCCAAAAGACTGCATGCAAGGATATAAATTATGAACAGAGTAATGCAAAAGGTTCTATAAACAAGTACAAATTAGCTTCGTTCTGAATGAACTCATTTTATGACAAGGACAAAGCATTATCCGCTGTATATGAAGGTGCAATACGTTTTGAATAAAAAATTAAATCCAAGACACTACAGATATTAAATCACTGAAATGAAAAGAAACATCCTTGGGTAATACAATTACTACTGTACAAGGAACACAATAGCAACACTAGTTATAATTCATATTCTGTCCATAAATAAATCTTCCATTCCGCAGAGTGTGTTTAATAAAAACAAACAAAAATAAATAAATAATTAAATCCAAATAATGATTTTTCCCACTTATACTGCTCAAAAAAACTACTCTTATATTTTGGCTAAGGCCAGCAGAGCTGCATGCTGGGAATACATGACCATGAGCTGACTGAGGTCAGCTTATAACAGGGAATCTGCAGGAGATTTGTGTTTCATTAAAGGGCTTAGAGTTCACTCTTTACTTGAACTTGAAGAGTTATTTTGGTAGCTGCCTTATTCCATCTTTAATGATGAGTTTTCAAAACCAGACTGTGGCAGACCCTTTCACTGAGCAAAAAACTTCTCATTTAAATTGAGGGCCAAATGTAGTTAAAGGGTTAATTCAACCAAAAGTTTTAATTATATCATTAATTACTCACCCTTATGCCTTTCCATTCCTCTGAAACCTTTAATTGTATTTGGAACACAAATTAAGATATTCTTGAAGAAATCCAAGAGCTCCCTCATCCTCTATATCAGAGTCTCCCATATTTTAGACCCATCTCCCGCCACCTTCCCGTTTTGTTATTTCTCCCAGAAAACTCATAATTTATTTTGTAATTTCTCAGCTGTGTTGTTCAGACACCTCACCCCCGACACAAAGCCACCCCAATTAATATTAATACAAGTATATATTAATACAAGTAATATTAATACAAGTTTTTGTGAGTATATTATTTCAACTAATATGAGCTGATGGCTTCAGCAAAAACATATAGCATTGATTAACAACAAGTGCTCACAAATGGTCTGTCTTTAAAGATTTATAGGTTATCATTAAAAATCAATTTCCATAAGGAGTTAATAAATGGAGTTCATTATCAGAACCAAAGCATTTCACTCTATTCATGCATGCAACCCCATGTCTAGATTTAGAATTGAACACTATTTAATGAGCAACAACAACAACAAATGTATTTGAAAGAGAGTAGTAAATTCACAAAATTCAGAAAACAGTAGGTTTAACATACTTGAATGACTTGATCTGAATCTCCAACAAAGAATGTCACAAAAGTGTAGTCGGATTAAACTGTAAAAATAAATTTGTTAAGGTAACTTAATTGAATTAAGTCAGTGAGTTTGTGCAATTTAATTAAGTCATTTGAACTTTATTGTATTGAGTGTTTATTCATCATTCATTCATTTTCCTTTGGGTTATTTACCAGGAGTCGCCACAGCAGAATAAACCTCCAACTATTCCAGAATATGGTTTACAAAAGCGGATGCCTTCCAGCTGCAACCCAGCACTGGGGAACACCCATACACTCAGTCACACACACATTTATACACTAAGGCCAATTTAGTTCATCCAATCCACATAGAACATGTCTTTGGACTGTGGGGGAAACCGGAACCCCCGGAGGAAACCCCCATGAACACGGGGAGAACATGTAAACTCCCTAAATATAATAATGTAAATATCCCTTAATTAGATTACTTGTCATTTACTTACAGTAGATCATTTAAATTGTTGACCTAACTAGATCTGTAATTTGAGTTAGCGTTTTACTATTAATTTTTTACTGAAACCTCTGTAAATCTTAAATAACACAACGGTAAAGTCTAAATCATGTTCCTTTGTTAACTGTGTTAAAAAAATACAGATAACGCTTATTTTTATATTTATTTTCTAGTCTGACAGAAAGCATGCTGGGAACTAGAAATCTGCACGATTAGGTTAATGCATTCAGTTTAAGTTCAGTCTAATACAAACAAATTTTGGGCTCTTTTTTAATGATCTAGGCACAAAGTCTAAAGCACATGGCGTGAAAGCATTAAGGGCGTGTCCACATTAAGGACTGGAAAATATGGTTTGTGCCCTGGCGTATAGTCTAACAGGGTTGTACTTATTTTCTTAATGAGTTATGGGTGTGTTTTGAGCATAATGTGCATTAAGCCAATCAGAGTCTCATCTCTCATTTCCTTTAAGAGTCAGTTGTATCACGCCAAGGCACACTTGCTATTTACATGGCAGAATTTGTACATGGAAAAACTGAACGCTTCACTAGCGAAAAAACAGATAAAGACCATCTGCAGCGGGAGGATAAAGAACAAGCCTCCTGCATTCAGCCTCTTTACTTTACTGTTACTCTTTACTCTTTTACTTTCGTGGACAATTTGTTTTAAAACTATTTCTAAATTCAGTTAAAATTTCCAGCAAACGAATGAATGAACAATAATAACGAAGTGAGGTCAGACTTATAACCAAATACACATCCTATTCTTATGCCCCATATGATCCAGAACCTGACAGGTGGACAAATATAAACTTGTTTTTATTAAAACAAATATAAATATTTATATAATAAATAATACTGCTAAAATATTGACATTGAACAAATGCTAATTGTTATGAATAAACTAAAAAAAGCACCCAGAGGTGAAGGCAGCATGGAGGTAGTGTTATATTTATATAGAAAATAATAATTTTTGTAACAATTTATTCCTTTCATTTTTTTCATATGAAAGGATGTTTGTGTATTGCTGTACATTCTGTGTGTATTATGCAATGTGTAAGCTTGGACCTGCATAGGCACTCACCTAACTCGCTTTGCTCTGGACTTTATACCAGCTTTTAGTTGGTCAATGACGCAGTCTATTTCAGTTTCTCAAAATAGCAACGCACCAGCAATGCACCTTAACACACCTCCTTTTTAAACCAGCACACCCATGAGTTCACAAAATGACGCAAATTGATTTGCTATTTAAACAACGTGGCGCAAAACGTGAAAATTAGAGTTGTGCTGGTCTGAAAATAGCAACAAATCGCATCAAACACGTCTTGCGCAATATTGCGTTGGGTGTATGAAAGATATGATCCCTTTGAGTTCACATAACTTGCTTCTATAAAGTTCAATGAACTTTCATTAAAACAAGTCAAAGGAACCCATTTTATTTAATTGATTCCACTGCTCAACTTTACACCCTACATAGACATATTCATATTACGTAGAACATGCTTTTTAGTCTAAAAATAATCCATTACTTGCTATTTTTATACAAACAAATAACAAAATCGGCTCTCCAGTTGGGACACGACACATTTTGTAGTCGTCAGGAGATCTTTTCATTGCATAGCCCGCTTAAACACTTCTTCAAAGCAAAAAAAAAATTTAAATAAAAACTAAACAAAACACTACCAATAAATAAACCTGCTCTCCACGCACAAATCTGACAGTCTTATATTTTAAACTGGCTCTACTAACTGTCAGTAAAGAAAAAGTAACTCAATAACAAAAAAGAAGAACTTTATTCTTTATTCTCAGAAATAAATCAGATAGTGGAATGTAATTTCTAGAGACGGCCCTAGAGGAACAGATTGCTGCACAGAGGCCTTTATTGTTGCTTAGCTTGCCTTCGCTACCAAGATAAAATAAAAGAAATCTAAAACAGCGTCAAAGCACTTCCCATTCAAAGTCCAACACTGTCGACAATGCAGCTTTTTTCTTGCAAATGATTAAGACTCATTTCAATGCGCTGTGTTGTACAGTTGATGTGCACTAATTATCAGTCTGTGAATAATTGAATTTGTCAAGACACTATTTATTCAGTCAGTCTGGCAGTTATGAAATACAAAAAATGCACACTGAGGTAATTTCACAGTGGTTCAGTCCTATTTACAAGGATTGGTTTGAGCTCTCACATGTGTTCACAGTGTTGAGTAGCTGTGATCTCACTGGGTAAAGACTGACCCCTGCTGGAATAATGCTTAAAAAAAAACAGTTCTCACTATAAATCGTCTATGATCATCATGTGCTGCTGAAAAGAGATTTTCTACTTCTATTTGGACGTATAATAGAGTTTGTAATACAGCCTTTATGACTATTGAGTTTATGTCAGAGCTATGCACACTGCAAACATTGCTTTTTTTAAAGAGTTTTTGTCTTGATTCTAGTACAAATATCTTACAATTCCTAAATCAAGAAGGATTTTCAAGACAAGTAAAAGCGTATCGTATTTCAAAGAAGGGCTGCACAATATTGGACATTTGGATATTTAGCTTTTACAGTATACAATTTCAACAGATGACTTGAAAACTGCTATTTGGAAAGAATTTATTAAATTAGATTGATTGGGATGATTCTGTAGGGAAGTTAATCATGCAAGAAATATAACAAACAAAGCATAGATAAATACAAAAGAGCAAAGAGAGAAGTTTCATAATAGTAGTGTTTTATTGTTTTCGGGGCAGTCAAATAGTATTCAAACTACAGAATTTAAGTAATCAATGTAATATAACGCTGCAAAAAGTCTTTACCTTATAAATAATTTGATAAAAGTATTCTTTTTTTAAGGAACACTATATGTTCTTGAACGCTTTGAACTCTGTCGGGCCTTAAAATGTGCAAATGATAAACTTTTACTCCATTATAGTTAAACTGCAAAAACTTCACAATTCACATGTGTTCTGAACTGTTTCTCCTGATCAACTATTATCATAACTCAACATTGAATATCCTGTGACATGACTATTGCAGCATACCTTATTTCAGAGCAAAAACAAGATTATTATGCTTACCAGTTTTTTGTGGAATCGTACACTGCAAAAAAAAGATTGGTCCCACTTTATATTAAGTGGCCTTAACTAATATGTACTTACATAGGATTTAATAGTTTATTACAATGTTCTTATTGTGTAAATACATGTATTTACTGTGTACTTATGCTTGAGTAAATACATGTATGCAATTACATCTGTAATTAACTTCTGTAATTACATTTGTGAATACACTGTTGACCATCCCTTACACCTTAACCCACCCTTAAACCTACCCATGCCACCAAACCTGTCCATAACCCAACCTCTATTCCAACTCAAAAGCACCACAAGTGTTCTCAAATACATTATAAACACAGTAAGTACATTGTATTTATTTTTTGATGTAAGTACATAGTAGTTAAGGACACTTAATATAAAGTGGGACCAATGTTTCTTTTCAAGAATATAAATCTTTTTGATAACTGTTTTGATTTTTCTTTTTTAAAGAAATACAAAAGGAATAACAACTATACAAAATGAAAACCCAACTCAAGCTTCAATAGCACAGAAATAATGCACAATTGGCATAATCTAGTTACCGAATAAATAAAATAAAAACAAGATAAACAGATCAATATAACACGCTTACAAGGAAGATTAAAAAGCTGACGCCGAATGAAAAGCAACATGCCACCTATTCATAGTCTTAGCGAGGGATCAGAAATCTTCTTTAACTGCCCTCTTTAAAAGTAAGAGGTATTATTTGCATGCCAATTGACCACATGAGATCCCAATGTGTCTCCAAATGGATCATACACTGCAAAAATGCTTTTTTAACGAGATTTTTTGTCTTGTTTCTAGTCCAAATATCTAAAAGTTCTTATATCAAGAAGCATTTTTTAGACAAGCAAAACATATTGTCTTTTTTTAAAGAAATATGACAAAATGAATTGAGTTTTTCCTCAAATCAAGCTAAATAATCTGCCAATGGGGTAAGCAAAATAATCTTATCACAAATCGAAAAACAAGATTATTTTGCTTACCCCATTGGCAGATTATTTAGCTTGATTTGAGGAAATATTATTCATTTTGGCATATTATTTCTTAAAACAAAACAATATGTTTTGCTTGTCTAGAAAATGCTTCGGGCGAGGCAGTGGCGCAGTAGTGCTGTCGCCTCACAGCAAGAAGGTCGCTGGGTCACTGGTTCGAACCTCGGCTTAGTTGGCTTTTCTGTGGGAGTTTGCATGTTCTCCTTGCCTTCGCGTGGGTTTCCTCCGGGTGCTCGGGTTTCCCCCACAGTCCAAAGACATGCAATACAGGTGAATTGGGTAGGCTATACACTACAGATATTGTCTGTAGTGTATGAGAGTGTGTTTGAATGTGTGTGTGGATGTTTCCAAGAGATGGGTTGCCGCTGGAAGGGCATCAGCTGCAAAAAGACTTGCTGGAGAAGTTGGCGGTTCATTCCGCTGTGGCGACCCCAGATTAATAATAAAGGGACTAAGCCGACAAGAAAATGAATGAATGAGAAAATCCTTCTTGATTTAAGAATTTGTAAATATTTGGACTAGAAACAAGACAAAAAATCTTGGTAAGAAAAGCATTTTTTGCAGTGTACAGGGTGTTAAAATGAAGACATCAGAATAAAAGATTACTATAAGAAAGGATAAGAAAAGGATACTGAGATATACTGTATGCAAATTTTTTTTTTGTGTTAAAAACACAAAAAAAACTAATGACATGCACTAATCTAGTGTGGGAGGGGGTTACTGTAAAAAGGGCTTTTCCCAATTGCTTCAATATCTTAAATGGAAATGTTTTGATCCCCTTCTACAAAAAAAAAAAGGTTTTATTCATACATTTTTAAAAACAGAACTCACTTTGGAATACTTTTACAGAATCAAGATGAAGTTACATTCAAGAAGCTGCATGTGACTTCTACAGATGCGGCAAAAAAGGCTCTGCACATTAAAACAATAACTTCCTTCTTTATCATTTAACAACCACAGCATTAGCACACTGTAAAGAAAGTCAAGACAGCAGAGGCTTTTATGTTGCTTTTACTTATTAAAGGTTTCAACTACATGTTTTAAGTTTAACTGTATATTTTACTCAGTTTGATTAAAATAAGTTGAGGTGACTAAAAAAAGTTTAGATATAAATCCTGCTTGCTTCCTGATCTGACAATTTAACTGAAAAAAAAAAAAAAATACAGGATGTGCCTACAGATTTGAGTTATAAACTTTGTTGACCACAAAAGCTTGAGAGCTGAACTTCAGCCAAAATACAAAAGCCAAAGTTTCAGAGTTTTTATCAAGAGAACTAGACTGATGCAAACTTTCAACTTGCCTGATCACTGTAGCGCTCTATTGCATAATATTGGTATTCTACCTTGTATAGCGGTCTTCTGACATCTATAGGGCAGTTCTGAATCACTTCATCCACAACATCTGAGATGGGCTGCATGAAGTCTGGGTTGGCAAACTGCAAAGTAAAAAGACCTTTTACTACACACTTTTCAAAAGGTCATTCTGGGTATACATGCTGAATAATTCAAAGAGTGTGGTGTTTTTACCTCGGGGTGAAAAAATATCTCTGGTCCCAGAAAACGCTCGTATCCGACATCTATTTGAAATTCATTTTTGCTGATAGCATTGATCCCCTTGTATTTTTTAATCCATTTTCCAGGGTCCATGTCATATTTGGTGAATTCCTTCACGATGTCTGGACAGATGTAGCAATATCTTTCCTGAAGATGGCAACAAAACAACACAGTGTAATGCATAAATACATGAAATCAACAATAAGTGCACTGCATACAGTATAAATATGATACAGCAAGAGTCGTACTACAAATTCTTTATTTTTTAATCTATGGGCTTGCTTAAACAATCTATCACTCTGAAAACTGCTTTGAAGTTATTCAGATGATTAAAAAAAAAAAAACATTGTACACAGTCTGCAGGCTATTAGCCTGTACAGTTAAAGCCAGAATTATTAGCCCTCCTGAATTATTAGCCACCCTGTACATTTTCCCATAAATTCTGTAATGGAAAGAAGATCAAAACACATTTCTAAGCTTTAATAACTCATTTCTAAAAGCTGATATTCTAATACTAATATACAGCTTAAAGTGCAATTTAAAGGCTTAACTAGGTTAATTAGGTAAGTAGGTAGGCGGACTGGCCATCTGGCAATTCTGGCAAATGCCAGAAGGGCCGGACCATTTTTTAAATGTGGGCCGGTGTGCTATTTTTTAAATGACGTTTTTTTTTTATTTTTTATATGTATTGTTTTTACATGCAGGCAGCTTTTATCTCTTGCAAGATGTGAATATTGTGATGATGATGATAGTAATAATAATAATAATAAATGTTAAGTATTGGCCCAATCGGAAATGGCCGACTGGTTTCGAGATGGGCAGACCCAAACAGAGGTTACATTGACGTAATCAAAATCTGGCAAGAATGTCAAACAAACAGTAAGTGCAACACAAGCTAATTGTCAGAGATGGATAGCTAAAAAAAGAAAAGGCGGTGTCGAAAAGCCCAGAGAAAGCCAAAAAATGCTCTAAAATCAGACGCTGCCAAATGCATAACATTAAATGAAATAGTCTCGAAAGGACACTGTCGACAGCACGCAGGTCAATGGTTCGACCCTCGGCTGGGTCAGTTGGTGTTTCTGTGTGGAGTTTGCATGTTTGCATGGGTTTCCTCCCGGTTTCCCTCACAAGTCCAAACACATGTGATATAGGTGAATTGGGTAGGCCTAATTGTCCGTAGTGCATGTATGTGAATGTGTGTGTATAGGGGTTTCCCAATGATGGGTTGCAGCTTGGAGGACATCCGCTGCGTAAAATGTGGTACTCCTTACATTATTTCACCTTCTGTACACCAATATAAGTAGTGAATGTGCGTGTCCGTGGATGGGGCTGTGTCGGTGTGGTAATGTGGGCTGGTGTGGCTACAGTGCCAGGGCTGATTTTTAGTCCCAGTCCGCCCCTGAGTTAGTGTACTTAGGAATATTATTGTATAATGATGGTTTGTTCTGTAGACAGTCATTGCTCTTAAGGGGGCTAATATTATTGACCTTAAATGGGCTTTTAAAAATGTAAAAATGTTTTTATTCTAGCTGAAATAAAACAAATAAGACTTTCTCCAGAAGAAGAAAAAAATATTGACAACACTGAGAAAAAGTCCTTGCTCTGTTAAACATCACTTGGGAAATATTTAAAAAAGAAAAATAAATAATAATTTAAAAATATTGACTTCAACAGTAATTACTCTGCACTAACTGCACATGTTTTGACTTTTTAAAGATTACTGTAACAGAAATAAGGAGACAACTGAAAATATATATATACAATCAGTCAAAAGTTTTGCATTTTTTTGAAAAGTTTTGAATTTTGAAATAAAATAAAATAAAGTTTTTGAAAAATGTATTTTATAATCACTAAGGTTGCATTTATTCAATAAAAATACTGTAAAAATTCCTTTAAAATCACTATAAAGTGCAATAATAATAATAATTTCTCATTATTATCAATGTTGAAAACACTACCTGACTAAAGTCTTGATGCTCATCCAAGTTTTACTTACAGCAAATAATAACTTGACTTCTAGTTGACCATTTGGCATCAAGAGTGGCTTATTTAAAAGGCAAAGGCCTCTAGATTACGCTTATTTTACCAAAATAAAATGATCATGCCTTGATTTTTAATTATTCAATTAGGACAGTAAGGTCTGACTTTGCTTAGACAAGTCTTGTCAGTTCCGTTAGTCGACTGAGGCCTCTGCTGAATTTAAACGAGAAAAGCAGCCACGAGTGGCACTCGTGAGAGAAATTTAAGATCACAGCAGCCTCTGGTGATTTGTGAAAAGAAAAACTGCAAAAAAAGCATAGCTCCTGGGACATATTTGGCGCTCTCCAAAAACATATATAAGGGTACATAATCAGAATGAGCTTTGGTTGTTTTAAAACATTGAAAGGTAAACATAATAAATTATATTTAAAAAAACATTTAACATCAAACTGAAACATATGAAAACTTAATGTTTCAATTGTTTAATTTAAATGAAGTATTTAAAAGAAAGACATAATCATCTCTGCAGTTACGCACTTTAACAGCTTTTGCAGTCTCCAGCGACTGTTCTGGAGGAATGCCGATCTCTCGCTCTCTCAGCAGCTGTTGAATGAAGTAGGTGATGTCTCTGCCTGCTATTGGGATGTGCTTTATGCAGCTGCCAATCACATACCCTTCTGCCTGAAAGATAAAAGAAACACAAACCAACAATTTTAATGGATGTTTGTTGGCAGATACCACATAATCAAATTCATGCATTTTGCTTTGCTTTATTGAGGGCTCTGTAATGTATATATTTAGCTTGTTTACCACTGGTATAGCATGAGTAACTCCATCACCACTATCAATCACAATTCCTGTTAGCGTTCGTTCTCCAACCTGTCTTGAAGTCCAAGATGCTGCCAATGCCAAAACAGCCTGAAAAAGGGTGAGATAAAGGAAAAAAAAATATTTTAAAATAACATTTTCATATTGTTTACAACATAAAGAATAAATGTAAATAGGCAAGTCATTGTATAATGATGTTTTGTTCTGTAGACTATATAATATTGACACTAAAATAAAAAACTTCTTTTATTCTAGCCGAAATAAAATAAATAAGACTTTTTACAAAAGAAAAAATATAACAGGAAATACTGTGAAAAATGTTGTGCTCTGTTAAACATAATTTGGGAAATATTTAAAAAAGAAAAAAAGTCACAAGACGGCTAATAATTTTGACCTTAACTGTACAACACATTTTACTAGAGTACTGTGCAGTTCAAAAAACTATAGTATATACAATAAATTACTATAATATATTTTTTCAAGTGGGTATATACAGGGCCGGCACATCCATAGAGGCGACAACCCCCCCAAGCAACCTTTCATCCACAACACATCCCTCCTCCCAGTCCTCACTTTTATCCACGACACATCCCCCTCCCCAGTACTCCACACCGCCAACTTTCCCTTTGCAAACCAGTCACTTCTGTTTTCACTTTCAGGTTGAGGGCAGCAAAATTGTCGCTATCCTAGAGGGCCAGTTCAGCTTGCTCCGGCCCTGCATATATACTACACTACCTGACAAAAGTTGTGTTGCCTATCCACGTTTTAGGAACACTAAATAATAACTTGACTTCTAGTTGATCATTTGGTATCAGAAGTGGCTTATATGAAAGGCAAAGGTCTGTAGATTACGCTTATTTTACCAAAATAAAATATGATCATGCCTTGATTTTTTATTATTTAATTAGAACAGTAAGGTCTGACTTTGCTGACCCCATACAGTACATGCTTAATAATGTTCATTTCTGGTGACTGGGCTGGCCAATCCTGGAGCAACTTGACCTTCTTTGCTTTCAGGAATTTTGATATGGAGGCTGAAGTATGAGAAGAAGCGCTATCCTGCTAAAGAATTTGCTCTCTCCTGTGGTTTGTAATGTAATGGGCTGCACAAATGTCTTGATATCTCACTGTGTTCACACTGACAGCTGAAGTTCGCTACATTGATCTCGTATTTAAAGGGGCCACTGCAGCATTTCAGCAGGTCAGTTACATTCCCGCATTAAAAACTATGCTTTCTAGCATTAAAATGTTGCCCCCTTTTATCAAATTAATTGAACAACAAAAGATAAAGTTGTTTCATGTGGTGTGGTTTTGCTTCACTTATCCAATGTGTTCATGTCGGAAATATTCTGAATTATAGTTGGCATGAGATTCCCGCTTTTTAAAAGAAATATATATATATAATATTAATGCACATCAGTAACTCTCTAGTAACTTTTTTAATGTGTGTCCCTGAAAGAAAACACCGTAAATAATTGGAAATCTGATTACCACAATGATCAAACCCTTGGGAACAACTGTGGTCGGAACCAAAGTGCACAGGACTGTGTTCTCTGGACTCCTCTCACGAAGTTGACTTCAGCATTCTGATTGGTTGCCGCTGAACTGCGTCATATCTCATTACCATAAAGTTGACTTGATTTCAACTTTCCTCGACGCCGCTATGGCTTCCAGCTACTTTGACACTCTCAACGCCTTCGTTGTAATGCACATTCAGGCTGTTGATGCTGATATCTACTCTGCAGATCTCTTGTACACCCACATATTCAATGTAACCATCATTTTTCCTTCACCAAACTTGACTGATATCTATGACAATCTTCGGTCCAGGTGGGTTCTAATAGATCTTCTGCAGTATTTGTGATGATTGGGATGCAGTTCAACACATTATTCATCAAAAAAAAAATCTACCTTCTGCCACTTTTCCAAATGATCAACTAGAAGTCAAGTTATTATCTGTTGCTCTTACAACTGGGATCGACGACAAGACTTTTGTCAGGTATTATTCAGAGTATATGATTTGAAATAATAAAATGTAAAAGTTTACCTGAACAGCGATGTACAACCCTGGAACGTTGAACGTTTCAAACATGATCTCAGCTAAGTATTCCCGGTTCTCTGGGGTATTTAGAGGAGGTTCTGTCTAAAGACAAAATATAGCACTGCAACATTAGGATAAACGGACACAAAAAGGCCTGTTTGAATAAGTGATTTGTGCTCTTTTGTAATGCAAAATATCTAAAGAGTGTTTTGTCATCATCAAACAGAGTAGTGAGACAAAGGCACTGGACATATTGGAAACATCCTGTTTGCGAAATGAAAAACTGTTTCACATTGGTACAGACAAAGCAGCATAATCTATCATTTCGCAAACAATAAATATTTCATTGGGTAGCTTCAATTATGCATGTGAGTCCTCTGTTTCTAAGTGGGAAGAATCTGTTACACAAATCGCTTTAAATCACTGTAGCAAACACTATATAATCAGTACAGTCAGCATACAGTACCATCAGGAAGTTGTGGTCCTCGGGCTCTGCTCGGAGATATTTAAATATGACCTGCTCCATGAACTTTTCCATGAAGTCCCAGTCCTCAATAATACCATGTCTGATGGGCCACTAATGTGTAAAAAGAAAGCAAAGTTATTAGTTACTAGACAAAATATGTTTACAGTTTACAAGCTAATTCCATGCGTGTTCAATAAAAAAAAAGATCAGGAGAGAGATTTCGTCAACATCAAAAATATTAGTAATTTATCAGATACTAATAAATAATTCGAGGACAGAGCTTTAGGATGTGTTACCCCAATGCAACACAAGAATTACATTCTACGCATACTGAATTTAACCCCAAACCATGATTTTTCCTTTACCAAACTTGACTGATTTCTGTGAGAATCTTGGGTCCATGCTGGTTCCAATAGGTCGATCCAATAGGATGATTGGGATGCAGTTCAACAGATGATTCATCTGAAATATCTACCTTCTGCCACTTTTCCAAATGATCAACTAGAAGTTATTATTTGGTGCTCTTACAACAGGGAATCGACGACAAGACTTTTATCAGGCAGTGTATTTTTCAAAGTATATGATTATACGGTAACACTTTACAATAAGGTTCATTAGATAATGCATTTACTAACATTAACTAATCATGAACAACACATATAAAGCATTTATTAATCATAATTGAACATTTACTAATGCATTATTAACATCCTAGTCCAGGCATGTCCAAACTCAGTCCTGGAGGGCCGGTGTCCTGCAAAGTTTAGTTCCAACCTCAATCAGCCACACCTGGGCTAGCTAATCAAGCTCTTACTAGGCTTTGGAAACACCCTTGCAGGTGTGTTGAGGCAAGTTGGAGCTAAAATCTGCAGGACACCGGCCCTCCAGGACCGAGTTTGGACACCCCTGTCCTAGTCCATCATGAGTTAACATGAACTAACAATGAACTACTGTATCTTCATTAACTAACGTTAACTAACATAAACAAATACTATAGTAAATGTATGGTTTATTGTTTGTTCATGTTAGCAAATGCATTAATTAACATTAACTAATGAACCTTATTGTAAAGTGTGACCGATTATACACACCAAATGAATTATTTCCTTGCCACAAAATTAAAATAATGTGTCAAAACGCGCAAAATATTGCTGTATACATGCACTTTTTAATTCAACAAAAATGTTTAAAAAAACAAAAACAAAAAAAACCATGACATTTAAAAAAAAAACAGTGTCATGTATCTAAAATACAAAATAGTTTGTCCAGGCTAAAGGTCCCAGATAACCAGTTAACTATGCATGAATGGGGAGTTCATCTCAGCAATGTTGTTGTAAAGGATAATAATTAAAACTGATAATTAAAACTTATATTAAATATAAAACTTATATTAATTAAAACTTATAATTACTTTTTATCAAAAATAATCCTAAGCAAAAGAAAGCAGGCAAAACGAGCACCGCTATTTTTGAGTCTATTTTAAAAAAATAATGATCGCACCAGTTGCGTTTTCAGGCACGATTGCTTCGTGCAAGGACCCACTCGCACTGATCACATCAGCTGTGCGCACGACACTGAAGCCCTCATCAGTGAGTGGGGAAAGCCTGTGTCTCACCAATCGCTTGATCATCATGTCATTCGGTATTCGCCTGCTTTCTTATGCTCGCTTGAACAATTATCAGTCTTGCTGATCACATTTGCACGCATGCTATCTTAAACTAAAGTTCCAATCTTTGGTGATGAGCAAGCACTGGCAATTTTAAAAATGATTTTCAAACAGCCAAAGTGGCGAGTGGAGGTGGCTGTCCCACCCACCACACCTGAAATCTATTCATTTGGTGGGTTGATGGGTGTTAATGTCAAGCCCTGATTATACTTAATATGATAGTTCACCCAAAAATGAAAATGTACTCATTATTTACTCATCCTCAAGTGGTTTTTGAGAAAAGCTAAAAATCTGCCATTGAATCCCATAGTAGGAAATACAATGCCACAGAGGTCAATGGCTACAGCTTTCTTTAAAATATCTTATTTTGTGTTTAACAGAAGAAAGAAAACTGTAAAGAGTGAGTAAATGCTGAAAGAATTTACATTTTGGGTAAACAATCCCCTTACGTTATTGGACTTCTTCTTCACAAGGAACCATCAAACTCTGCTTTTTGTATATATGGTGGGGTTTTGTGGTTGACAGTGTTAAATTCTCATCAAACATGATTTTAAAAAGCTCTATTACAAAGTCTCTTCTCGCACTGCAAGCTGAGCAATGGTTTCTTTTGTACTTGTCTTCCATTATGTCAAGCTCCGGATACGGTTGACCAGTGCTCCTTCAATTCTGTTCTCAGTTACTGAACCCTGTAACTCCCTCAAAGTGATCCTTCACCTCTCAAGTCTCCTTGTTCAAGCAGTGTTTTAAAAGACAACCTTTTTTTCTTCGTGTAGAAGTAGTTGGGTGTAGCTTGACACTTCCTGATAGTTGAACCACTGCTCCCTACTGACATTTCCAAACACTTTCGTATATTTCATGAGATTGTTACTCCTATACTGATGCATTTTCATATTTAAACTGGAAGTGTGGCATTGAAAAATTTACTTTGTTAACTGCTTGGGGTGACACAGTGGCTCAGTGGTTAGCTGTGCATCAAAAAGGTTGCTGGTTTGAGTCCGGGCTGGGTCAGTTGGCATTTCTTTGTAGAGTTTGCATGTTCTCCACACAGAAATGCCAATGTTTATGTTTTCCTACTTTCTAGATGGTTCTTTTTTTACTCAAGAAATCTATACACACTGTTTATTAAAGGAGACCGACTGTATTATGTCCCTTTTTTCAAGTTATATGCAAATATATGCAAGCCTGTGTGTATTTTTAATATATAATAAATATACACAGTACACACACTTAAATTATGTCAAAACAAACTTTTGTTTTGTGATGCAATTAATCGTGATAAACTTTTGCCCAGCACTAATTTCTATATAATTAAACCTATAATTTTATCTAATATAGAAGTTTTATTCCTAATTTAGACCTGGGTTAAACTAAATTAAGTAATTAAAACATCTTTAATATCCCTATGGTTATAATACAACCCCAAATCAAAAAAGGTTGGCACAGTATGGAAAACGCAAATAAAATAAAAAAGTAGTGATTTCTAAACGTACTTTGACTTGCATTATTATTTATTGTGTTCCTCATGATTTTTTATTGTTTTTTTAAATAAACACAAATTTCAATTTTGGTTCTTGCAACACATTTAAAAAAAAAAAAAGTTGGAACAGTCAAGCATTTACAACTTTGTAATGTTGCCATTGCTTTTCACAACACTTAAAAGACGTTTAAGGACTGAAGACACCAAGTGATGAAGTGTTTCAGGTGTTATTTTGTCCTATTCTTCCTTCAAACAAGTCTTAAGGTGGGCAACAGGTCTTCATAGTTGCATTTTTTTTTTTGCTTCAAAATGCACCTCACATTCTCTAATGGAGACAGGTCGGGACTACATGCAGGCCAGTCAAGTACCAGTAGTCCTCCAAAATCACTGTATTTTTCAGCATTAATGGTACCATCACAAAAGTGCAAGTAGCCTCTACCAAGAGCACTGACACAACCCTGATAGACCCTGGCTTTTGGACTTGTTGCTGGTAACAGTCTGGATGATCCTTTTCGTCTTTGGTTCGGAGCACACAGAATCCATTTCTTCCAACAAATACCTGAAATACTGATCAATCTGACCACTTTCAACTGTGTGATGGTCCATCCCAGATGTCTACGAGCCCAGAGAAGCTGATGGCGCTTCTGGACACTGTTAACATAGGGTTTCCTTTCGGCACAGATCAGTTTTAACTGGCATTCGTAGAGGTAACTACGTATTGTGGTTCTTGACAAATGGTTGCCAAAGTAGTCTTATGTGGTCATTTCACTTATGGATGAATCACAATTCTTGATGCAGTGTCGCCTGAGGGATCAGAGATCATGGTTATCCTTCACGCACTGAAATTCCTCCATATCCCTTAAATCTTTTAATGACGTTATGCACTGTTAGGCACTGAAATATCCAAATGTCTTCCTATTTTTCTTTAAGGAACCTTGTTTTTAAACATTTCAATAATTTTCTCACATATTTGTTGGCAAACTGGCAATCCTCTACTCATCTTCACTCCTAATGGACTAGATCTTTCTTAGATGCTGCTTTTAAACCAAATCCCAATCATCTGTTGACATCACCTGTTTTAAATCACATCATTATTTAACGAATTTACCTAATTGCTAGCCCTAAACTGCTCTTGTCCTAACTTTTTTGAAATGTGTTGCAAGAAACAAAATTGGAATACATGTTTGTTTTTTTAAAAGACAAACAATAAAAAGTATGAAGAATACATTAAATAATGTTTGTTTCAATGTCTGCATTGAAATACAAGTCAAAGTAAATTTAGAAATCACTACTTACTTTTTTATTTGTGTTTTCCATACTGTCCCAACTTCTTCTGATGCAGGGTTGTACTTATGCAAAAATGTGTGGCTCTAATGTTTTCTAGGCCCAAAAGAACAATAATAGCATGACAAAAATCAAAACTTATCACCTTGGTTGCATAGTTGGGCTTATCGATGGCTTCGTCTCCAATAAAGAAATCAAGGTCATCCACCCCTTTCACAAGACGTCTCTGTGCCTGATCTCCAACACTGGCTGACTCTCTGACCGCAATACCTGCAGCGACACTACAATCAGCTGACACACACCGTGAGGTCACGAAGCACTGTAACAACACACATTTGGCAAAACAATCAATGAGTATTATGAAAGGATATGTCCTGTTAAAGGGATATTTCACCTAGAAAAAGAAACTGTTTACTCACCATCAAGTGGTTAGAAACCTTTATAAGTTTCTTTATTCTGTAAACACTGACTTCCATAGTAGGAAAAACAAATATACTATGGAAGTCAGTGGTTGTAGCATTCTAAATATCTTCTTGTGTCACATAAAGGTTTGAAGGGTGAGTAAATGATGACTGACTTTTCATTTTTGGGCGAACTGTCCTTTTAAATGGCCTACAGTATATTGAGGTTACAGCGGTGGTGATTTAAAGGTTTTATAATAGCTTTAAATAGTGGTTCCCTGAGGCAGAGTTTAATTAAATTTATGATCCAGATATTATATCCTGGATCTTAGTGCTGGACCTGCAGTTTTAGTCTTCTGTAATCTGCTCTGCTCTGCATTTAACAACTTAAAGGGATAATTCACACCAAAAATAAAAATTCTGTTATCATTTATAGGGGGTACGGAAAGTATTCAGACCCCCTTACATTTTTCACTCTTTGTTTTATTGCAACCATTTGCTATAATAATTTTTTAAGTTCATTTTTCCTTCATTAATGTACACAGAGCACCCCAATTTAAAATAAAAACAGTGATACTCACATATTTAACTCAGTTGCTGTCCATTTCTTCTGGTCATCCTTGAGATGGTTCTGCTCCTTCATTTGAGTCCAGCTGAGCTTGATTATACTGATTGGACTTGATTAGGAATGCCACTCGCCTGTCTATATAAGAGCTTACAGCTCACAATGCATGTCAGAGCAAATGAGAATCGTGAGGTCAAAGGAACTGCCTGAAGAGCTCAGAGACAGAATTGTGGCAAGGCACAGATCTGGCCAAGGTTACAGAAACATTTCTGCTGCACTTCCTAGGAGCACCGTGGCCGTAATCCTTAAATACAAGACGTTTGGTACGAACAGAATCCTTCCTATAGCTAGCCGTCTGAGCTACCAGGGAAGAGCCTTGGTGAGAGAGGTACAGAAAAACCCAAAGATCACTGTGGGTGAGCTCCAGACATGCAGTCTGGAGATGGAAGAAAGTTGTAGAAACTCTACCACCACTGCAGCCCTCCACCAGTCACAGGTTTATGGCAGAGTGGCCCAACGTAAACCTCTCTTCAGTGCAAGACACATGAAAGCCCACCTGAAGGACTCCAGGATGGTGAGAAATAAGATTCTCTGGTCTGATGAGACCAAGATAGAACTTTTTGGCCTTAATTCTAAGAGGTATGCGTGGGGAAAACCAGGCACTGCACATCACCTGTCCAATACACTCCCAACAGTGAAGCACTGTGGTGGCAGCATCATGCTGTGGGAGTGTTTTTCAGCTGCAGGGACAGGACGACTTGTTGCAATCAAGGGAAAGATGAATATATCCTGGACGAAAACATTCTCTAGAGTCCTCAGGACCTCAGACTGGGCCAAAGGTTTACCTTCCAGCAAGAAAATGACCCTAAGCACACAGCTAAAAAAGCAAAGCAGACGCTTCACAACAACTCTGTGACTGTTCTTGAATGGCCCAGCCAGAGCCCTGACTTTAACCCAATTGAGCATCTCTGAAGAGACCTAAAAATGGCTGTCCACCAACATTTACCATCCAACCTGGCAGAACTGGAGAAGATTTGCCAGGAGAAATGGCAAACGATGGCCAAATCCATGTGTGAAAAACTTGTTGCTTCTTTCCCAAAAAGATTCATGGCTGTATTAGATCAGAAGGGTGCTTCTACTAAATACTGAGCGAAGGGTCTGAATACTTAGGACCAGGGGTTCGTTCTTCGTACGTGGATTACTCAGTTAGCTGGATTTGGTTATTGACGATTTGACATGATCCAGGATCAATTCTAATCAAAACTGATCGGAGAGTTGTTTTCATAGCAACAGTTCTGCTAGCTCAAACCTGGTAGGAAGCAGGTTTAATTCATATAAACATAATTAGATCGGCTCAGTTCAAGCAAAGATAATACAGAAAGTATGTACCGAATTCTGATATTTTTTTAACAGTAGTAGTAATATACACTTGGGAAAATACAATTTTTTTAAAAACTATATAAAGTTATAGTTATTAATAAAATAAATAAAGTTATCTGTTAATGAAAAACCTTTTGCCACGCCCCTACCGGAAAAAAACCTGACCAATGAAAAACCTTTTACTCCGCCCCCACCTTTTGCCACGCCCATTGCTCCAGACTGCAGTTACCCATACTAGAAAACGTATGCAATCTGCAACCCTGAAATGAAAGTACAAAGACTGCCACCTGGTGGTGCAAAGAAAAAAACTTATTGATATGAACTTTTTAGATCACTTTAGTACAATTTGTGTATGATAGTAGAAATGCACAATATGTGACTTTTTAAAAGCAATAATACATTTATGCAGTCATAAACATGTTTTGACAGTTAATATGACGGTGATTTGATGCTTCATAACAGTTGCAGAAGCCTTCACCAATATCAAAATGCTTTTGTAAACATCCAGTTATTCTTTACACTGATAAAAAACAAAACGGCTACAATAATACTACTATGGGTACTATAATACGGAAAATCCACTCTAACTGTAAAACTGAATAAACTGCTCTTGACACATGAAAGGGCCAATCATGCAGCCCACAACAAGGTGTAAAGTTATTGCGTGTAATATTTAACAAACCGTTTTCAATGAATTTTATGTAATTTAGCTCACATGGATAATTGAATATTAATCAGATGATGTCATTACGCTGCTGTGCCGTCAGCCAATCGTTGCATTGCTGATCATGATTTCGAGGATCGATAGATCAGTCCTTCACAACACACGCATTGATCTCAGATCAGTTCATCCAGACATTTTAATCTGATTCACAAACCTGTTTGAAGAACCAAATTAGCCAGAGATCAGTTATCAAGATTAAAAGATCCAGGATCTGCCAAATCATCTTAGATTATTTAAGCGAGCTACGAAGAACAGACCCCAGCTGATATTTCAGTTTTTGTTTTTAATAAATCTAAATAAACATAAACAATTCTATGTTTTTCTGTCAATATGAGGTGCTGTGTGTACATTAATGAGGAACAAATGCAAATGGCTGCAGTATAACAAAGATTGAAAAATGTAAGGGGGTCTGAATACTTTCTGTGATATTGTGAAGAACACAGAAAACCTGTAATCACTGACTTCCAACGGATTGTTTGTTTTTTTTACTATGGAAGTCAATAGTTCTTTTGTGAAACTCTTAAAGGTTTGGAACTACCTAGGACTGAGTAAATAATAAGTGCATTTTAATTGTGTTGGTGCACTATTCCTTTAAAATAGCAGGCAGCTTACAAGTTGGCATGATGAACTGGGGCTCTGTGTTTCCAGCATAACCAATCTTGGTGTACCTGATGAAGAAGAACAGTATATAATCATCATCATGAATCAGATGAATGAACCAGATTGAGTGTGGTAAAGTCTTTTAGTTTTGTCATTTTCAATCAGTATTTCCAGCGAGTACATCATCTGTCTATTAATCAAATAAGAGCTGTGGTAGTTTATTATTTAGCTTTAACGCACCTGATTAATATCTCGAAGTGGCAGCCAAGTAAACAAGACCGAAATATTTCAGATGAAAACATAAATCATGCAGAAAAGCATATCATGCATATTTCTTTGCTTCCTATAGAAGCCAAGCTTATAAGAGCCTCTTTATTTATCATATGAAAATACTAGATGCATTATCAAGACAGCTGTGTCTGCATTAGTTGTTTTGGTAAAGCTTTTGAATTAGGGTCCATTAGTTAATGCATTTGAACTTTGTACAAACAAATGATCTTGAATAGCATCTATTAATCATAGTTCAATCATAGTTAATGTATTATCAAAATCCAAAGTTGTGCTTGATTACATTAGTTAATGCACTGCGAGTTAATGAACTAATGAACTTTATTTTAATTAGGTTAATAAAGATGAATAAATACTGTAATAAATTGTTTGTGTTAGAAATAATAGACACTCATTTTAAAAATATTTAAAAAATTTTATGTTTTACAGGACTGAAGTTATCACTAGACATTAAAAAATATTAATAACTGAAGTACTAATCATAGTTTAACAGTATCAATTAAAGGTGTGGAATATTTTTGAATTGGTCAATTTTTCTGAAAGAAGTCCCTTATGTTCAACCAGACTGCATTTATTTTCCTTCATTCATTCATTTTCCTTCAGCTTTGTCTCTACTTCAGAAGTCGTCACAGTGGAATGAACCACCAACTATTCCACCATATGTTTAACACAGTGGATGCTCTTTCAGCTGCAACTTGGTATTGGGAAACACATACACACTCTTATTCTCACACATACACACACACACACACACACACACACACACACACACACACTTTTACTATAACCAATTTCTGTTTACCCAATTCATCTATAGCGCATGTCTTTGGACTGTGGGGGAAACTGGAGCACCCGAAGGAAACCCACGCAAACACGAGGAGAACATGCAAACTTCACACGGAAATGCCACCTAGCCCAGCTGCGACTCGAACCAGCGACCATCTTACTGTGAGGCGACAGTGCTAACCACTGAACCACCGTGCCACCCTCTGACATATTTTGTTTTAGTTTTTGTTTCCATATTTTATTCAACATTAGCTAATGTTAATGTATTTACTACCACACACTAATTATGAATAACTCTTATAGCTTTAATGAATTATAGTTCAACATGTACTAATGCATTGTTAAAATCAAAATGCATGCTTGTTAGGTAACTAATAACTTGTTTGTTAAAACGAACTAACAATGGAAAACTATATTTCCATTAATGTTAACAAGGATAAATAAATCATTATTATAATTAATATATCATAATTAATAATAAATGAATACTTAATAATGCTACTTGTTCGTTGTAGTAAATGCATTGCACTACATTAAATAATACAACCGTATTGTAATGTGTTATCCATGTTTTATAAAATAGCCCACAATACCAATGTTTTAACTCCAATTAAAAAACTTAAGAGTGCAGTATTTACTATTAATTGTGTAGTGACGTATATCAAACATATAATATTGATACAGAGGCACATATATAGTCAAAAAATATTATTTAGTCAGCAACAACAAAGAGACACAATATTTTTTTAAAGCCTTGCTATATCCACCAGGCATATAAACACATTCGGTGACTGTAAACAAACTCACCCTGTCCCGCAGTCAATCACGCATGGAGGGGGCCGAGCTGCTGCCATCACCAGCACTAACGTAACATTCAAGCACACAAACACAACAGCATGTCACAACAAAAACGACGTCACACAAACCATGTGTCGTTAACAGGCTTGTCAGGTATACCTTTAAAACGGTGTAAATTATCCCACGATAATGCTTTGCAGAGTTATTTTTCGCGAGTGCTTCCCGAGTCAAAGGGAAGGCAAAAAATAGAAACATGCTGGATCCACTCGCGCTGCCTCATCATGGTCCACAAGGTCTGCCTGTCAGCGAAAATACGAACCCTACTATGGTAAAGGAGAGCTTATTAATATTCATCATGAGCCAAGCCTCCGCCAGCACAAATGTAAAACGTTCGCTAACTGGAAGACTACTGAGTAACGTAAACACGGCGTAATTAATATTCATAACCATAACTTTCGCCGTAGTAGGCTCCGTAATTTCATGAGCTAGCAAACTGCCTGAACAGAGCGAATGGCGCATTATGATTTGTTTACTTGCCTCTTGTTTACAGTGAGATGAACGTATATGGGGGTTCGGGTGGTTTGGAAGACCACCACTCACTGATAAAGGTCCAGAATTGCTTCATTCATGAGCTCATTTGTCCTATTTTGACTTTTATGCCATGATAAATATTGAAAATAACCCATTCAAAAAAGGGTTTAATACCAAGCGGAATTGGCTGCCGCTTCGGTTTGACTTAGCTAATCAGTTTCAGCCAATAAACAAATGTTTTCACTTTACAATCTGGCGTCAGAGAAGTCTTCTTTCGCTATGTTTTTAAACAGAGAAAACATTTTACAAGTAACTTTTTTCTAAATCTTGGAAACAAATAAAAAAATGAGCAATAAAAAGTAAAGCGGCTCATATTGAAAATGATTTGAATACTATTTCGGCCATTGTTGTTATCCATCATTTTCAAATGTAGGCTGTACGTTCTTTACAGGAGAGGCTAGAAAAATTGTGAAGCTCTACATTATTATTATGTTAATAATATATTAAATATTTAATTATTTTGCTTTTCAAATGGACTGAGGAAAGTTGAATGTGCTGGCCAGTTGTTGTTGTTATTGCTATTTGCCTAATAAATGACAATAGACTACAGTTTTTATTTAAGTTTTTAACAGATTCCAATTTTTTTCTAATGATGTATGATGTAAATAATATGTATTTAAAAATAAGTATTAGTTTACATTTCTTTAATGTAAATCTTTGGGAAATATTTTTGACATATCAAAAAAGTGTGGTTATGATGACCATCTGACAAGCTAATTCAGCTAAAATATTGCTTAAAATGTTACTAAATGCAGTATTTAAATCTCATAATTTTATAAAATTTCCCAGAGATGGTTTGCAGCTGGAAGGGCATCTGCTGCGTAACGCATATGCTGGATAAGTTGGCGGTTCATTCCGCTGTGGCAACCCCAGATTAAGAAAGGGACCAAGCCACTTTTTTAAAAAAAGGACCATCCCTTTCACCAGGCTAGCTATGGGCCTGCTTGGTATATAAATTTAATCATTTATCAAGGAACAGTAGATATTTCTTTACATTTTATTATTTTATTTTATTTTATTTTATTTTATTTTATTTTATTTTATGGAACAACCTGGTGGCGCAGTGGGAAACATAATCGCCTCACAGCAAGAAGGTCACTGGTTCAAGCCTCGGCTGTGTCAGTTGGCATTTCTGTGTGGAGTTTGTATGTTCTCCCTTTAAAATTATATATTTGTGCATATATATTAGATTAGTCAGCATCAAAGACAAAACTGGAACTAAACTAACAAAAAATAGAAATTAAGATCACAGCCCAAAACTTTGTACAACCAAAATAATGGGGAAAACATATTAAATACTGTTTTATTAAAAATGATAAATATAGAACACATAAAACAAATTAAATTGTATTATTGTAATTGTGTAGTTTGTAAAAAAAATTGCAATAATTAATTTGAATAATGTACTGTATGATATTTGTCTTCCTAAATACGTTAGGTGACCAAACTCTTATTTTAATGGATGTAACTGTTTAATTATAAAAACCTAAATTATTAAACAAATTAGTGACTATATTCACTTGAAAAAAAAAAATGGCTAAAAATACAAAATTTTAAAAGGGGGTGTACTCATTTGTACTGAGCCCAGAATAAACATTTCTGAAGGCTAACGTTAAACTCTAGGTGGCAGTCGATCCTAATTTTACATTATGAGATGCATGTTTAAAGTCATACTGTGTATTATTTTACTCACTTTATACTAACTTTGACATATTGATCTGTTGTTCTCTTTGTAATGTATATATATATATATCGCATTGTTTACTAGCTTTTATTATTAGGTTTATTATTTGCAGATAGTCCTATGCCATTATAAAATAGTACTTTATGTATGAGAGCCCGATGTAAACATACACGTGTATATGATTTTCCACTAATAGTGTAGCTACAATTTAACGTTTAATCTCTAAATAAAATTGTAGCATATTTTTATTTATGCAAAATACTCCAACTATAAAATATTACAAAGTTATAAATTTAGTTTCAGAACTAACGTTAGCGTGTAGGATATAATGGGACCTTTATTTTGAAGTGTGGTCTCGCGTTTATTTACCAGGAAATAGATTTATGAAATAACTGCGCGAAAAGCAACGAAATGACAGCACGAGTCAGGATGGCTGAGAATGGAGCACAGGTACATCTGATAACCTTAAATCACTTCACATAAAAATGATTATATTTATATTATTATTTATATATTTGAACGTATGCTTTAGTATTTATCACCAGCTGGAAACCATTAACTATTTATGCAGAAAAACATGAACACAAGATCCGTATAAGATGGTCATATACAGATCTAGCTTAATGTTGATAAAGAAGTACTAATCAAGATTTAGCGTTAGCCAGTTTCAGTGACATCGCTTATGATTGAATGGGATAGTACACTTGACAGTAACGATACTGTCATACAACTTGTATATGTTGCTTGCTGTTAACATCAGTGTTTAAGCAGGGTTCAACGCTAAGGATTTTTTTCTACGGGCCAGTGGTTCAGCTTTTTACTTGCCCTGCTAAAATTTTCACTGGCCCCACCAAAAAAAGAGAAGCTAATAGCTATTTCTTAGCCACCTACAGCATTTCAAATGTGTCAAAAGCCAAACATAATTGTAATACCAATCCTTTTATTCAGCATAACTTTTTTTTAAAATACAACTGACAATTTATAAAATACAATTGTGATGTAACTAAATTTGATAGTGTTTATATATATATATATATATATATATATATATATATATATATATATATATATATATATGTGTGTGTGTGTGTGTGTGTGTGTGTGTGTGTGGGTGTGTGCTGGTCCAAAGTTTGGGGTCAGTTTTATTTTATTATTATTATTTTTTTAAGTTTTTTTTTTAATGGAAAATTATTGAGTTCATCATGGCGACATTTATTATTATTTATTTATTATTATTATTTAAAAAAATTTAAATTGTTAAATATTTATTAATTTTAAATGACTGCTTTCTTATTGTATGTACAGGGCTCAACAATAAGGACAGCCCGATGGCCCGGGTCAGCTTGAGAGACGCTCGGGACAGTAGACAATATCATTACTGGCCCGATTGGGCCAGTGCTGCCCTGTCACTAAAGTTAAATTTGCCTGCGACAGTACGACCAATTGTCAATTGTGTAGAGTCGAGAAACAGTTTGTGCTTTTAATCCTTTAAATGATACCTTTTCTCTGATGTCTTAAACACCATATTGCTTCTCAGTTCCTCTTAACTGGGATGCATTTCCCAAAACCATCGTTAGCCAACCAAGGTCGCAAGTTCTGTCGTTACAAGCATAGTTTGGTGACTTGCCGTTTCCCAAATCCGTCCCTCCAACGAACATTCGCAAACTGCGTCGCAAGCTTGAGAACTACTATACCTCTGTAGCTGTAGTTCGAAACATAGTTCCTGGCTTTGATCTATTCCCACTTATTAACTTATCATTAACACTCTAACATTCAAAGTTGGAATTATATAAGTAAAAAAGCATTAAGGTCATCTCTCTTAGGTGTAATTTGCTTTCTAACTATTTTTACAGTTCAGTTTTAGCACTCTTCATGTTTACATTTGCGCTCCCTTCGCAGTGCAATTCGAAAACATTCATGTCACTCTGAGCACAGCCCCATGGCGAAAGCTATAGGTGATCCATTATTTAAAAGCGGAATTTATGTTACGTCTCCAATGCTTGTGAAAACAAAAAGCATACGTTAATGCTTTTAATTTATAGTAGGTTATTTATTAAGTATCTGTGCTGTATATGACATGGGCCTGCTGGTTAGAACTTTCTGCAGTGGTTTACAAGTGTCAAATTGTAAAAGTAATCTTTAAAAAAATAAATAAATGAATAAACAATATCTACTTATTAATAATAATAATCATCATAATTAATATTATTATTAAAGTATAATTTTTCATTTCTAATACATAATAATTAATACATTTAATTTTTTTGATAAATCGCCTGATTATTTATTTATTTGTTTATATGATTTATATATGATATTAGTATATGTATTAGCTTTTGTAAGTGACTTTATGTTTTATATGATATGTCATTCTCAATATTTGTAAAGCAAACATAGGCCCTAAATGTGCCATATATTTCAATTAATATGGAAAGCGAGTGCATGTTTTTTCCAAATCTTGGATTTTATTTTAAAATGCATGTTTGTGTAAAACAATATCATTTGCACAAAGAAATTATGGGGTTCTTCTCGTAGTTACTCCACCCAGTTTAGAGCGCCATTATGGGCGCTTTACATTATAACTAACATGGTTCGAGCAATGAATCTGCGACAGAGAAACTATGCGTTTTGGAAAACACTAGTCACTACATCATTCTTTTCCCCAAACGATGCATCGTACCATGATAGTTCAGCTGCTAGTTACGCCGTTGTTTGTTAAACACACCCCTGATTGGATGTTGTGAGAGTGTTATTTTTGTCTGTAACTTGGTAACAACTAGTACAGTGAAGAGAATGCAACATGACGGCAACATCTAATTATGAGGCTAATGTCTTGGAAGCAGACATTTTTGTGGGTACAACAGGTTGAAAAAATGAAGCGGGGTTTGGCAAAACAGTCACCTTTTGTTAAATCGTTTAGAACTGCAGTAAAATACCTGCATGTTTTCCATACTGCACTTTTTGTTTCCATATCACAATGAATTAATTATTAATTAATACATTAAACACATTAACTTCTAAATCCACAGGCGTTGTTTTTGATGCATTATTTAAAATATGTGACATTTCAATCCTGAGCTTTGAACCCTGATGTAGTTTCAAATAAAATTATTACTCCAGTCATTATTGCTTTAATTACTATTACCATTAATGATAATAATGACAATAACAACAATAATATTTAATATTAGAGTGATTTCTGAAAGATCATGTGACTCAAGACTGGAGTAATGAAGCTGAAAATTCATCTTTAAAATCACGAGAATATTTGATTAAATTAATTGATAAATTACCTTTGATAGTGCAATAACATTTCACAATTTTACAATGTGTACTGTATTCATGATGAAATAAACACAGCCTTGGTGAGCAGGATAACGTTTTTAAACATTTAACAATCATACTGACCCAAAACCTTTGACCAGTTGTGTACATAATATTATTTTCGCTTGGTTTTTCAGTTGGTTAGCAGACTTGAAGGAAGACAGTCATTGAAGGACATTGAACCCAATATATTTCCTGCCGACGATGGTCCAGGTCAAGGTGAAGTAAACTTTTAACTTACCCTGTATGTGTTAAATAGTAATGCAGTATTTTACTCTCCTAAAACTAACCTAGAAGTTATTTAATTATTGTTATGTTTTAAAATACATATGATTTTGTAGTGTATTTTAGGATTTAACAGTGATGGGTTGCAGCTGGAAAAGCATCCGCTGCGTAAAACATATGCTGGATAAGTTGGCGGTTCATTCCGCTGTGGCAACCCCAGATTAATAAAGGGACTAAGCCGAAAAGAAAATGAATGAATGAATGAATTTTAGAATTATTTTGTCAATTATTTAAATTGTCAAAATACAACAATACGAAAGAGTACTGAAAGCAGGTCTAAAGTCCAGCGCAGATCGCATTAGTTGTGCGCCTCATTTACATATTGCTTACATACAGCAATATGCAAATATCTTTACAAATGGGACATACAAATTAAGGGATTAAAATATTAAAAAAATTATAGCTTTCTACATAAATATAAAAACCACTGCCTCCATGCCTTCAGCTCCGTTTTTGCTTTTGTATAATGTTATTATTAGTAGTAGTAGTATTTATATGCAGATTTATATTTGTTTTAATAAAAACAAGTTTAGATTTGTCAGGTTTTGGACCTTATGGGGCATAGCATGTGTGTTTGGATATAACTTTTTTTTTTTTTTTTTTTTTTTTTTACCACACTTCGTTATTATTGTTCATTTATTTGTTTACTGGCAATTAGAACTGAATTTGGAAATAGTTTTGAAACAAATTTTAAAATTTCCTTATCCACAAAAGAAAGTGAAAGTAAAGCGGCTGAATGGAGGAGACTCGTTCTTTATCCTCGCACTGCAGATGGTCTGTTTAACTGTTTTTTCGCTAGTGAAGTGTTCAGCTTTTTCTCTTACAAAGTCTGCTATGTAAATAGCAAATGCGCCATGGCGCGGCGCAACTGACTCTTAAAGGGAATGGGAGATGAGACTCTGATTGGTTCGTTCTCAAAACACAACCATAACTCGTTTGGATAATAAGCTCAACCCTGTTAGGCCATGCGTCTCGGCGCAGAGCGTATTTTTCCATCCTTAAACTAGCTAAGTGGATTTGGACATGCCCTAAATGCTTTTGCACCCTGCGCTTTAGACTTTGGACCTAGATTATTAAAATAGAGCCCATTGTTTTGTGTGTGTGTGTGTGTGTGTGTGTGTGTAATAAAATACTTTTTTGTGTCTCAGTGGATGCACATGAATTGTCATCAATAATATTGTTATAGCGATAATAAATATCATGATAGGTCATGGGCCGGTATAAAATTCTGGCTGTATGATAACCTTGGATAAAACGTCACGGTTTCACGGTATTGTGAATTCTGCTCAAAAATGTGTTCCTTTTAAATGTCTGATTAAAAACAGCAACTTTTTTCACTATTGATCACAATATATTTTATTGTAAGAAACATTTAGAATATTTTGTAACAGTAAACATGTCAATTAAAAACTGTTTTTATTCTAGCCTAGATAAAACAAATCAAACTTTCTCTAGAAGAAAAAATATTATAGGAAATACTGTGAAAAATTCTTTGCTCTGTTAAACATCATTTGGGGAATATTTGAAAAAGAAAAAAAAATTACAGGAGGGCGAATGATTTTGACTTTAACTGTAAAAAAATTAAAGCATAGTGTTTCAAATGAAATTCTGCATCTGTTCAGGTGACGTAGTGGAGTTTCATGGAATGGAGGGCTCAGGTAAGACGGAAACCTTGTACCACCTAATCACCCGCTGTATCACGCCAACGCACAGTGGAGGTCTGGAGGTTGGGGTGGTTTTCATTGACACTGACTACCACTTTGACATGCTGCGCTTCGTGAGCATTCTTGAGGGACGTTTGGCTGAAGACTCAAAGACGGGCTCTGAAAATGAAGCCGAGGAGACAGTACGTTCATGTCTCTGCAGGCTTTCTGTTGTGCACTGTAACAGCTCAGTACAGCTTCTACTAACCCTGCACTATCTCGAAAACACTTTCTCCAGCCAGCCCACCCTCGGCCTTCTAGTCATCGACAGCATCTCTGCATTCTACTGGACAGACCGATTTAATGGCGGCGAGAGTGCTAGTTGTCAGGAGGCTAACTTAAGAAAGTGTGCCGAGTTGCTGGACAGACTACGCAGAAACTATGGCATTGTGATTTTCGCCACTACTCATGCCATAATGAGGAACTTCGGATCTGATCTAGGGGTGTCAGATGTTCATGGCTCATCATCATCATCATCATCTCGGAGGTGGAGGTCAGCTGACTGCGCTTCAGACTTTGACAGGCCCTACCTGTGCAGAGCATGGCAGAGGATAGTAACTCATAGGGTGCTGTTCACTAAAAGTCATGCACCAAAGGACCACAAGCAGATTTTCTCCACAGCGTGTACCAGTATATTGACCAAAGGTGTCAAAAAATGCTCATTCTGTGTCGTGGAAGATGGTATTAAATTTATATGTGACAAGTGAGCATGTATTGAAAAATTACACACTTTTGGGTTGTCACATAATTATGAGGGTTAAAGAACATTTTACTTATTGTGTGTCAGTGTGTTTAATAGCAATTGCAATACATTTTTACTTCACTCCGACAGTACAAATCAAGTAATCATTGCTATAGATCAGGGGTTCTCAATCTCCGCCCAGGAGTTCAGGGGTCTCATGCATCAACGCTGCGTACACACAAAAACTTTGCGTACGTTAGGTTTCACACTCACGTTTGAATTTACTAACGATGAAATGAACGTGAGAATGTGCGCTGGTCCACGCCAACTTCTTGTCTGGCGTGTGTGCATTTCCAGCCTGATCTCACGAGAAAATGTAAGTATTTTACGTTTTGCCAGTTTAGTGGCTAATTCGTACGAATTCGTACGAGTTCAGTCGTACGAAATTGTACGATTTTAAAAATGAGGCGTGGCACCTAACCCCACCCCTAAACCCAACCATCATTGGGGGATGAGCAAGTCGTGCTAAATTGTACAAATTAGAAAGTACGAATTCATACAAATTAGCCACTAAACCAAAAAGTTACGAATTGCCGTGAGATTGTGTTGGCATTTCTGGTATGTGTTTGTTTTATTTACATTGGCGACTCCTAGAGGCAGTTGTGTTAAATTGCACACTACAAAGTATCTTTGAGCTGTGCAATGGCAGCTGTATGGGACTTGATCATCCGCATATCTAGCAGGTATATTTGGTTTCCATACCATACAGTTGACCAGCCAAACATTAAAGCGCAATTTGCATCTATCGCCGGTTTTCCCAATCTAATCGGAACGATCGACGGCACACACATTGCTACAAAGGCATCTGAAGACGAATTTGCAAAGGCTACGTGAATCTGAAACATTTCAATTCAATAAACGTGCAAATAATATGTGATGCTTAATTGCGCTTATCATAATACACACGGTTATTAATGATTCCTACTTGTCTTCCTTGTAATGAAAAGTAGGCAAAATCTGATAGGTAATGGGGGGAAAGAAGAAGAATGAGTTCATTAGACGCTGGATTCGAACTGGGTTCATAAATGATAGTGTCAAAACATGTTACCATGCGCTTCATGAGCTACGCCACTCGGGCTGCTGATGTCCACTCTCTTTAGTTTTGTTGTCTCTGTTGATCAAACAGGCGGAAATCACTTAACTAGCTCATTCCAACGAGGTGTGCTATTTGCACTTGCCTAAATAGACGCTACAAAATTTTCACCTTTACATCGGACCATTTTTTTTAAAATTTCCTAACAGTGCGCTGTTCAGACACAACTGCTTTAACTGCATCAGCTAAACTCTCCCACTCTATTTTTTATCTTTTGTTATTATTTCTGGAGGACAAATTTGCAAATAACACCATTTTTCTCCGGTCGACCTCCGATAGGAGCACCTCCAATTCACATTCTGTTCAAAGTTTCTCTTTTTGCTGGCTTTTGCCATTGCTTTTTCTTTTGGTTTTGCCAAAGTAGAGTCATTACCATATTTATGTGGGGGAGGAGGCAGGGAGGGGTTTTGCCCTCAAGCACGTGCGCTCAGTTTCATGTTAATTCGGATGTACAAAGAGAATATGCGTGGGATTCTGCGAACGCAGTGTTTCATACAAATTTTTTTACTGTGTACACACAAAGCTGTAAATGTTTTAGTATAATTTCAACGCAAGTCTTCGCACATGAGGCCCAGGTGTCCTGGAGATTGTACCTCCAACCCCAATCAGTCACACCTGGGCTAGCGAATCAAGCTCAATATGATGGGGTTACACTAGAGTTTGTGCATGCGAAATTGTGTTGTGCGGCGCTCCGAAAATGGGCGGGATTAAACGAGATGTTTAGAAATAAAAAAAAAGCGAGCGATTGCTCCATGTTTTAAATTCCTGTACAGAGAAGTCATGTTTTGATCTTCGATTAGTCTCACGCAATCATGTGATGCCATTTCGCAGGTCAGAGTTCACCAAGCTTGAATTTGAATGCAGCGAACTGCGAAACTTACTGCACGACCTTGCGTTTTCAGTCTGACGCATTCGCGTGGGTATGAATACAAGTCTATTGGGAGAAAAGTGCAGTGACCGCAGCTTTTACTAATGATGTGTTGTTCTTGAACAATTCGTTCATTTTTAACAAATCTTTTGTATGACTCAAGAATGATGAGTCCTTTCGAAGTGATTCATTCATTTGCGCACGCGTACAATTGTGCCAGTGGAGCAGAAGATTGGTTCCCCTCCATGTAGATTTTGGAGCACAATATGCTGCCTTCTTTTCCAGGGATGGCCATGCATTTTTCAACATAACAATGCAAAACCACTTTCTGCACACATTACATAGACCTGGCTGCGGAGGAAACGGGTACAGATACTTGACTGGCCTGCCTGCAGTCCCGACCTGTCTCCAATAGAGAATGTGTGATGCATTTTGAAGCACAAATTGCAACAATGTAGACCCCATAGTGTTGCCCACCTCAAGACTCTTTTGCAGGAAGAATGGGAAAAAATTAGACCTGAAACACTTCATCACTTGGTGTCTTCAGTAACTAAACGTCTTTTAAGTGTTGTGAAAAGGAATGGCTGCATTACAAAGTGGTAAATACTTTACTGTTCCAACTTTTTGGAAATGTGTTGCAAGAACCAAAACTGGAATACATTTTTTTTTTTTTTTAGATCATGAGGAATATGCAATAAATAATATTTGTTGTATTGTCTGCGATGAAATACAAGTCAAAATAAATTTAGAAATCACTACTTTATTTTATTTGCGCTTTCCATACTGTCCCAACCTTCTCTGATTTGGGGTTGTTCTTAAATGCACGACGCTATATTAATTGCTCAAGTCAATTTTATAAGTTATGCAAACTATCAAGCATGACAAGCAAAAAATAAAATTCTGTAAAGCAGCTTTCAAAAGAATCTCTTCATTCAGCTCAGAATTGGTTCAAAACCAAAGTTTATTATTAACAGGTTTTTTTTTTTATATAACAAGCCGTAAAACAATTAAGTTGTCCCCCGAAAAATCTCAAGAATTGTGTTGTTTAAGCTCATTTTACATTAGTAGTTCACTTAAGAAATGACATGAGATCAAACTACTTATTTAAAATAAGTAGCCGGCAGCTAGCTTTAGCCGGCAGCTACCTCTCTGCAACTCTCACATGGTCGCCCACTGAAGCTAAGCAGGGCTGCGCCCGGTCAGTACCTGGATGGGAGACCACATGGTAAAGCTAGGTTGCTGCCGGAAGTGGTGTTAGTGAGGCCAGCAGGGGGCGCCCAACCTGCGGTCTGTGTGGGTCCTTATGCCCCAGTATAGTGACAGGGATGCTATACTGCTCAGTGAGCACCGTCTTTCGGATGAGATGTTAAACTGAGGTCCCGACTCTCTGTGGTCGTTAAAAATCCCAGGATGTGCCTTGAAAAGAGTAGGGGTTTAACCCCGGCATCCTGGCCAAATTTGCCCACTGGCCTTTGTCCATGATGGCCTCGTAACCATCCCCATATTCCAATTGGTTTCATCTCTGTCTCCTCTCCACCAATCAGCTGGTGTGCGGTCTGGCGCAAAATGGCTGCCGTCGCGTCATCCAGGTGGATGCTGCACACTGGTGGTGGATGAGGTGATCCCCCCATTGTGTAAAGCGCTTTGAGTGCCCAGAAAAGCGCTATATAAATGTAAGGAATTATTATTATTATTAAAATGAGCTGAAGCAACACAATTATTGAATTCTTGAGGTCTTGAGGGGACAGCTTAATTGTTTTACATTAAATTCACTTAAATTTTTAAAAACAAAGGAACAAAACTTAATTCATTGATGTTGTACCAACACAAATCGTTTGTGTGGAACCCAGCTTTTATACAGTCTTTAAACAAGTAAACAGCGAAATATGTTTTCGAGTGTAGAGGCATAACAGTAATTTAAAAAGATCCCTGCTAATATCCATCAAGTATTTGTTACTGCAAGTAATTAATTTCATCAGTGGTTAAACACTGAAAACACCCTTTTGTAAGCAGTCCCATGCATGCACAAGCTCTCTCACACACAGCATGGATCATTCAGTGAGCGAGAAAGAGGAAACGTGTTGAAGCAGAGCGATGAAAGCATCAGTGAGACACTGTCTTTCAAACACTGGCGCTTCTTTCAGGCCAAGAAGCTCATTTCCTCTTGCACCTGGACTGCTTTGGACATCTTCCCTCATATCCTTGACCTTTAATGAGCCTCTTTTTTTATTAGGAAAAAAGAACACTGAATTGCTGATCTACTTAGAAAACACTGATTTAATGGGTTGTAGCCCTTTATCTTATTTTAAATGGCTATAACAAAAGCTGTGGACAAATGGTCAATTAATACTTGAATTTTGTATATACAGTGCTGCATTGAAAAAAACAAACAGAGGTTTTACTCAGAAATTGGTAAATTCCTCAGCCACTTAAGAAACTAACACAAATTTAACCTAACATTTTAAAATAGACTGACGTAATTTGTAAAATTCACTAATATATAATTTGATTTGCTTTTCATGCTTTATTTACTAGCCTACATTGACTTTTAAGTGTTTTAGGCAGTTTTTTTTCTCTTCCTTGTCTTAAATTAACTTTAATTGGTTTAATTGTTTGTTTATTGGTTGTTTTTTGCTCTTTATTGTGAATAAAAACTAATGTATATTCAGTGAAATAATACAGTGATGCGGTCAGGGCCGGCCCTGTACATTTGGGAGCCCTACCTTGCTCTAAATCATAGGTCTCAAACTCGATTCCTGGAGAGCCGCAGCTCTGCACAGTTTTGCTCCAACCCTAATCAAACACTGCTGATCCAAGTAATCAAGGTGTTCAAGACTCTTAAGCAGGTGTGAGTTGGAGGTGGTTAGAGCTAAACTTTGCAGAGCTGCCTTCCTCCAGGAATTGAATTTGGGACCACTGCTGTAAATAGTGGGGTATTGTCATTTCACACCAGCCCACTATGATTTTGTTGCTTATAATACAATCAGTGAAACAGAAAAGTAAAGCCTGATTTCTTCTACTTAATAATTGTCTGAATGATTTGGACATTGTAAAACAGCAGTTTTTGTCAACCAATAGCTTCAGAAATGAAGAATTAAATCATATTTATTAAAGGGACCTACTTTGTGTTCTTCTTGGGTGTTTAAAACATATTTTATTAATTTAGTAAACAGATTGAAGATTCTATAAAAATTTTCAAGTTTTTTTTTTTTTTTTTTTTTTTTTTTGGTAGAAATTCCAAAAGCAAAAATCTGACACTGAACAATAATTAATTAAATGCATTAATTTATAATAAAATATACATTCTAAACAGATTAAAAACTAAAATAAAAAAACTTTTACATTAATAAAAATATTGATCCATAAATAATAGTCAATAAGCAAATAATATAAATACGAAAAACATTCATTTAAAAACATATAAGAAAAAGGGAGGCAACAAATACTGCGTTAATGTTAATACCCAAACACAAACTCAATTATTCCCTTCAGTCTCCTTCCCTGTTCCTTATTTAAGATGCAGGGTCCAGAGCTTATATTAAACCAGGGGTGCCCAAACTTTTTCTTATAAAGGACCAAAAACCAAACTTGACTGAGGGCAGTGGGGCGAAGTTAAATATACCAAACCGTATCACGTTCAATATGCCATGGTTAGTTTATTTGCTAATAATTAAAAATAACTAGAAAATGTTGCTTTAAACATCAATTAATGATGCAGTATAATTTTTGACAATTTATAATGAGCTTATTATAGTAAAAACATTAACAATCATATTTATAACACAAAATGATGTTGCTCCTTTGCCTTGATTTGCTCACCGATGTCTCGTGCATTGTCCTGTCTGTCAACTGACAGTACTTCATATGAAACATTTAACTGAAACATTGTTTTGTTTTAAGTTCCTCAATTAAACAAACAAACAAAAAACTTAAGGTTTTGTTAAATTTGAAATGATAATCTCTGTCAAAGGCATTTACCCAAAACAACTCCCCATCACTTTTCAGATAGGATGGTGGGCCAAACCAAAGCTTTGAGCCGCCGGCCCTACTTTGGGCACCTCTGTATTAAACTGATTAATTCAGAAACATGTCTCAAGAAAAATATTACCTAGATATGTCAGAGAAAGACACTTTAGTATTGCATTTCAGTAAAATGGGTTTTAGACAAAAAAAAAAACAGGTCTGTAAAACCATGAAGAAATTTTAACATTTTATACAAGTAGACGACGTTTATTAATCAGTAATTACCTATTTTCGATAAATGTGCTATTATGTCTTTAACATCAACATATGCTAAAATGATTTAGTCTCTTCTCGTTTTCATGTTTCCCTGCAGTTTTCAGTGTAAAGCTTGTTTCTGGTTCGCTCTTTACGACCTCAGAGAAAGTTAAATTACAATATATCCTCGAACATTCAGTCATATTCTGGGACGTTATAAAAAGCTAAAAGCAATGACATTTAAGAAACGTAGACCGAACGTTAAAAATATAAAACATTTACTGAGAGATAACACATTAAAACAGCGTCCAAAAGGAAGAAATTTCGTCTTTATACGCGGACATAGGCGACGTGTAGTCATTCCAGCTCATTTTCCAAAGTCGACTTCCGCGTTTTACAATCCACCGCTGACGACTGAGGAGACTTTTTGCCTCGAGTATGTCCTCATGTATCGCTCCGCGGGGTCAGTGAGACTTTTAAAAAATATCTCCATGCAGTTTTTAACAGAAATAACGTCCACGTTTATCACCCCATACATCATACTCTCGGTTTATAGATGTTCTGCACGAGTTATGCTCCATTTTAAACGACAACACTGTCTTAAACCTGAAAGTGGGTCTATTTGTCCGTTGCAGTGACAGGCAGTGTTTCGGTCTCTCTTAAACATGGCCACCATGATGGAGTAAACGCTACAACTTTAAAATTCATATAATCGAGGAAAACTATGCTTCTTTCGCCCAAATGAGGAATGTTTCGACCTGAAATATCGCACCAAACGCTTAATCCACATGAGAGCTTTGGGAAAAGTTTCTTCTTGGATTACATTCTGAATTAAGTTGGCTGGAAGCTGGAAAGGAAAGAAGAGAATTGCATCAATTCCGTAAGCATTCGCCACTCTTCATCATTTCGCACGCTTGTCGTGGTTATTTGTTTATATGCTGCTGCTTATGTCTCATGTTTTGATGTGAGCCGCGTTGTTTTGCTGTTTGGAGTGAAAAGCAAGTGTTGTTTTGGTTTTCAGCGGAAAGTGGCGATAGTTGCAAGCCTGTGCGAATGTTGAGAGTAACGTTGAAACACTAATGACAGATTGTTTTAAAGTCTAAGAGTAAACATATATGTCTTTCCGCGGCTTTGCATGTTTAATTTGATCGAGGTTTTTTACTGATGACCGATAACTCCCTCGATCTCCCAATAAACGAAAGTATTACGTTTCGTACGGGACCTTAAAGGACAACGAGGAAGTAACCAGAAAATAATATATATCTGTGTTATATATGAAGTTTACTCGACATTGTTTAAGTCCTAAATATAAAGTGTGGCCTTGCGTTGTTTGGTAAACGTCACACAGACGTTTGGTGGCGGAAAGTTGTTTTGTTTTCACATGGGTCCAGCCATCTTACTCGAGTCACGATAAGAGCTGCCTGCTAAACTAACTAGTTTCTCCCAGTCAAGCCTACTTTACCCCCGAGGCTTACCTGCTGCTTTGACATGCTGATTGTATAACTGGGTATTCGAACTTCTTTGTTGTTATGAGAGCTTTAATTAAGCTAGCACGAAGCAATATAGACAGACTTCCCCTGCTCTAAAAGGGTTAGTTGACAGCATGTCAGCCACTGACAGCAGCGTGACGTGTTATACTATTTTATAAAGCGTGTATTATAACTGTTGAGCATACTTTTTATGAGCTCGTATTTAGACCTGTCTTGATATCTATTTGTGTTGTACGATATATTACAATAAAATATATTGCGATAAACGATATAATTGTCATTTTATGACTATTTTATGCCACTCATTATATAACGCAAGAATGACAATATAGGCTAATATCAACACCGTGCACGTACACTTTCCCCAAAGAACACATAATAGTTTATTTTTAACCATTTTTAATTTAATTATAGTCATTTTAACAATTTAATAATTAGGCATTGGAATCAGAATGTAAAAACGCATATCCTAAATAAATAATAATTAAAGTTAACAATAAAGTGCAAGGTAAAACGTAACAGGCTACGATTATATGCTAGCAGATCTATTTTCAGTTGTCAGACACCCACATGAAAATATATTATAGTCATTTATAGTAAAATTTACTAGTGTTTTTCAACCATAGTGACGCTGACACCTCAAATAGAGATAGAGATGTGCACAATCAGCTAAATTGTTGCTAGAATTGTTTTTTATGTTTCAGCGATTAGGCATGGGCCGGTATAAGATACTGATGGTATGATAACGTTGGATAAAAATATCACGTTTTCACGGTATTGAGATTACTGCTCTTAAATATACTCTTTTTAAACATCCGGGTAAAAAACAAAATCGTTTCTCCCTTTGTACACAATATATTTAAGTTTAAGAAACATTTAAAATATTTTGGAGCCTTAATCATGTCAGGCTAAATAATTCAAATGAATTGTGGACTTCTGCTGTCTTCATTTGTTTTAAAAACACAGATTTTATTTTACAATATAAATAAAACGGCATCTTTGGAGATGAAAAAAAAAAAAGTAAATAAAAAAATCTTACTCATACCTTAGAAACGGTATAGCAGAAACTTTTGCCGGTTTTAAAACCTTGACTTTTCAAGATATATATATATAATCTTGATTGCGGCATTGTGTACTAAAGAGCAGGGATGAGATCCTGGATGCATCGAAATATCGAGTTGAACCGAATCAATAGCATTATAATCGTAATCGAGCCGTGAGACCAGTGTGGGTTCACACCTTTACTTTTTATTTAAACAATATTTATATTGCAATATGTATCGCAGGGATAAAAATCCCGATCTATTCCTTTTAAAATTCATTAACGAATAAGTGATCTTGCTAATGTATATAATATTTCAAATGATAAAAATAGCTGACTGGGTAAAATCTAGTGGTTTGAAAGATGGTGAAAGTATAAAATGCAATTAGATAGTAATGGGTTGCACTGTGACCTTAAAATTGTAGTATGTCAACAAATGATTTTTTGTTCTAAATACATTAGTTTTGGTATAACAATTGTTGAACTGAGCTGAATAACATTTTAGTACTGGGAATGAAAGTCAAAAATGAGGTATGATCATCATTGTTTTTGTTCAGGGATAAAAAAAATACAGTTAAAAAGCACACATTCTTATGCATGCAAAAAAGCTGTAACATAGGGCGTCTCTAAAAAGTTGTTGTGCCCTGAATCCTTTATAAGCATGTTAAATTCAACAATTCAAGTAATAATAGTTAGAATCTCAATCTAATAATTGCATATTCCTAGTGCTATGTGTTTTTTAGGTGTATATTGAAGTTATTACAATTAATTCAATGTAATAAGGCAGTAACTACACTAGCCCTTTAAAACAACAATCAAAACATATTTATCTCGGTAAAGGATAGTATTTCCATGTGGAAATTTAAGCTGTATGGCAATTAAACTGTATCTCAGTCAGATACAGTACTTAAATTAATTGTAATATGCAATAAATGCTGATTTTAATTTCAATATAAAAGCTAAAATCGCATTATTACCTCTCTGACTAATATGTACGCGTGCTCGAATGAACACAGATGCTGTGTTGTTGTCCATAAAAGCCTGTGAATGAAATTATTTGGAAGTGTTAATAATATTCTGAATTAGGGTTGTGTGATATAATAGGGCTGCACGATACTGGAAAATCTGACATTGCGATGTTTTGTTGCGATACGAGTTGTGTCATTTCACCACATAATTTCAATAGCTCTATTTGGAAAGATTTCGCTCATTTAGATTGACTGGGATGAACAAGACTTGTATGTGGTGCATCTGCATATAAATATAATAAATGGAAAGCATTTAAATATGATAACTAAGTGAAATAAACAGTGTTTAATGATTTTCTGGGAATACTAACATTATTCAAGTACAGAAATTGAATAATCAAATGTAAAATAACATGGTCATCATTGTGTAGTGAATACAAATTTTATATATATATATATATATATATATATATATATATATATATATATATATACAAATACAAATACAAAAAAATATATAGCTATATATATATATATATATATATATATATATATATAATTTATTTATTTATAGCCTCTCTGCATTATTTTCACTAGCCACAATTTTGTTATTGGGAAAATAATATATTTTATCTGCATAAATTTGACGTTGACATGCTAAAATTACTTGATTTAAATTTTGTGTTATCTCCACATGCGTCCTTATTCATTTCGCTTTTTGTGTGTCGAGTATGAGCTTGCTCAATGGGCATGATCAAATGGGTCATCATTATAAATGGGTGTTATATATGAGCTCAAAATTAACGATTTACCAAATTTATCTCTATAACCACACTAAGCAATAATTATTTCTTAGCCACACAATTTTAATGTGTCAAAACAAGCTAAATATAACTATACTATACTTTTTATTTAACAAAACATTTCTTAAAAAAAAAAAAAAAAAGAAAAGCAATTGACTTTTAAAAAATAACTATTGTCATGTATCAAAAATATGCACAGTAATCTGTCGTGGCTAAAGATCTCTCGGATCACCAGTTAACTGCACATAAATGGAGAGTTTATCTCCCATTAAAGCAATGTTGTAAAAAAAATTATAATAATTAAATCATTTTAACAAAAATAAAAGCAAATAAAACCGTAAGCTAATGAAAGCAAGTGAAACATACTGTGTGTGATAATAAAAGGATCACATGCACACGGGTAACTTTAGGCCATTTAATAATTTGTTCAAAGTGAAAGCAACCGGTGCTGCGGGTGCATGTTTATCACTTTTTGTCTAGTTTATTTGAAAGAGAACCGATGACAGTTGCGTTTCCAGAACCTGTTCCAGACACGGTTGCTTTACGATTCGGAAGCGCGCACGCGTTAAGCAGTCGCGCGCACGCGTTTGAAAAAGTGGCGCGCATCAACTCAGCTGTTAGCACGAGTGATGATCATTCTCTCATTCGGTATTCACTTTTTCTACTGCTCGCGTGAACACAATTCTCGATTCTAAGATCACACTTGCACACATATTGGGTCATCCTTATATTGTCAAACTCTGCTTTTAGGAAAATTACAATTTAAAAATTAATTCAATCAGCCAAAGTGGCTAGTGGGATTGTCTGTCTAACCCGCCAAAGCTGAAATCTACCCACATTTGGCGGGTCTTAATGTAAAGCATATTATGTAATGTATATATATAATCTAAAATTAAAATGAATCAATTATCTAATCCTGCAATGTGACTATTGTAGTTGCACACATTGCAGTTTCGATGCTCAAACAATATTGTTCAGCCCTATCATATATGATGACATTTGATAGTGGCCCATTAAAAGAAATATCATAATATTGTGCTACAAGTCTCATTAATACATTGCAATTATGAAGCTTCTCGATATATTGTACAACGCAGCATACATTAGCAACTAGATTAGTCCTGTGGAAACGTAGTTATAATGGAAAACTGCACTTAATGACAGAAAGTATGTTAGTTCCACGCTGGTTTACCAACGCACATGTTTTTTTTTCCCCCAAGCGCAAACACCTCCGAAGCGATACGCCACACAATGTTTACATATAAACACATTTGGTTATTTTGTCTAAAGTGAAAGTAAACCGTTAAGGGAAAAACAGATGCATGATGATATGTTCAGGTCTTAAAGTGACAGCAAACTAACAGACTAAAGTTGTCATTAAAGGATGATTCATTTCAAATTTTACTGGTTTTATATTTGCATATATCTGCCCTTCCAGCTGCAACCCAGTATTTGGAAAACATCCATACGCTTTCAAATTCACACACTCATACACTACGGACAATTAATTTATTCAATTCACCTATCCTGCATGTCTTTGGACTGTCGGGGAAGCCGGAGCACCCGGAGGAAACCCA